ACCAAATATGTAACGTGTAACCAGGCGTTTATATCCCAAACGTCCGTTCCAGTAATTTCTTGGATCCAAGTTGTCCACAAACAATACGGCAATACTATAACTATCTATATTATGCACAATGAACTAAAATATACACACTGACTCTTTGCCGATATAATGTAACAACGGACAATTATATATATACAAATATAATACAATAAAACAGCCTGTCCTCAAGATGGGACGGTCTGTCACTAAAAGACAGTGTGGCTGGTATAGTCTGTCTGTATCAGACAGTATGTGCTGGTACAGCCTGTCCTCCGAGTGGGACAGTCTGTCACTTCCTGACAGTGCGAGCTGGTACAACATGTACAACTTGTCCTCCGAGTGGGACAGTCTTTCACTACCAGACAGTGCGGGCTGATACAGCCTGTCCTCCGAGTGGGACAGTCTGCCATGTCAATCCTATTAACTTGTACGTCCACTTTGTACCCGGTACAAAGTGTCCTCTGAATATCAAGGCTCTATATATGTGACGTACGCTCTGTTGAAGGATGACAGCTCATCGACAGCCTCAAGTGCCGTTTCTCATTCTCTTATATACTCGTGGTCGATACCACTATTTCCTTGATCGGGATGTTCTCTATATATTACCCTTACGGAGCATAGAGAGTCCCTTACGGTCACCCCTATAACTTTCGACCCGGCCACTTATTTTCCCGCCAAACGTCTAAATCCACACAACGCTTCCTTCAGAGTGAAACATGCATAGATACAACCAGATTTTTCTTGTATGTTACTATAACGACCAATAAACATTACACACTGTTCACACTTTCACTCATCCATGTTAAAAGGGTCAAATAAAGGCAACAGTAGTATTCCGGTGTTCAATAGTCATAATTCGATTAAGTGAAAACAAATCCGGGTAACAAACCAAAACCGAGGGAAACACATCAACTATAAGAGGAAAACAACGGAACAACATACTGCATACACTTTGGCAAACTTGAAAAGTTCTACCCTGGTTTTTGCTGTGGTTTTCTGTGTAAAGTTTTTACAAATATATTTTTGCCTTTATTAGGTCTTTCCACTATTTTGTGGAAAGACCTATTGTATTTGTTCTGATAATTTTTTTTCTTCTTCCGCCAAATTTCAAAACTTGTTTTTTGGTTTCGCAAGATGTCGCTTAGATTTTTTGCATATGATATCGAACAGTTATTGCGCTTTTGAGACTGACCCTGTTTAGTCGAAGCCTTTTTATTGTAAGAGTAATCTCCCCAAACACTGTTTTCTTTGTGGTGAGATCTCCTCCGTAACCATAAAAGAAAGCGACAAATTTATTTTACTAAATTGCTCGTTATATCCTCAGGATGATTTGTCAAATTTTAACTGAATCAATTCGTAGACTCCATATGACAGTTATTTCCCCTTTTGAATTTGACATAAGTGATATGTCAATGTATCACATGAATGGTAAGAAATACAGACCTAAGGTACATGTATTTGAGGTCCTGGGTTCATAAAATTATATTTGAGGTCAAGGTCAAAGGTCATGTCTAAATTTTGACTTTTCATTGTTCAGATATCTTTTCCGTAACCGTAAAAGAAAGCAACAAATTTATTGTACTAAATTGCTCGTTATATCCTAAAGATGATTTGTCAAATTTAACTGAATCAATTAGTAGACTCTATATGACAGTTTATTTCCCCTTTTGAATTTGACATAAGTGATATGACAATGTATCACATGAATGGTAAGTAATACAGACCTAAGGTACGTGTATTTGAGGTCCTGGGTTCATAAAAATAAATTTGAGGTCAAGGTCAACGGTCAAGGTCATGTTCTAAATTTTGACTTTTCATTGTTCCGAGATCTCCATAACCGTAAAAGAAAGCGACAAATTAATTTTACTAAATTGCTCGTTATATCCCAAGGATGATATGTCAATTTTAACCGAATCAATTCGTAGACTCCATATGACAGTTATTTCCCCTTTTGAATTTGACATAAGTGATATTTCAATGTATCACATGAATGGTAAGTAATACTGACCTAAGGTATGTGTATTTGAGGTCCTGGGTTCATAAAAATAAATTTGAGGTCAAGATCAAAGGTCAAGGTCATGTTCTAAATTTTGACTTTTCATTGTTCCGAGATCTCGTCTGACAATCTTAGAGATATATTTAAAAGAACTAGTGCAAAATTTTTGCCTCATTGTGATGAAGATATGATACATTTGGTCTGAAACAATCCAATGACATCTTATAGGAGTTATTGTCCCTGAAATGATTCAATTTAAGGTTAATTGATCATTTCTCCAACTTGGTACATGATAAAGCCATAGGGTCTTTTGCAAACTGTTGGTTGACATATGAACTTGAAAAATATCAACCGGAAGTGACCTTGAGTAAACCGGAAGTAGCCATTTTTGCACTTATTTCATGGAAAAGTACCTAGAAACTATGTTTTTTAAATATGCATACATAAACCTATCATTAGGGACCGGAAGTGACCTTCACTAAACCGGAAGTACCTAATATCACCACTATTATAGGCAAAAGTATATAGAAACCATATATTTTTGGAATCAGTGTAAATAAAGCTATCATGTGAGACCGGAAGTGATATTTTTTAAACTGGAAGTTGACAATTATCTCCCTTATTTCAGGCAAAAATGTTTAGCAACATTTATTCATTGAGAATCGGTATGAAGAAACCTATGCTTGGAAGCTAATAGTAACTTTGAGTAAACCGGAAGTAGCTTCTCATCAATAATTTAAAAAATTGATGTGGCTGAGCAATTGGTTTTTAATTTCTTTTTTTTTGTTTTTTGGCCCTGTTGTTGTATGTCTTTGTTTATAATTTTATTATTTTGTCCTTTTGGTATCCTATTTTTTTCATAAAATTGTTTAATCCGATTAAAATACAGATCCTGTGTCCACACTTTGGATCTGACAACACTCCATTCTACTTTCAGACAAGGCTCCATTCTACTTTCAGTTCTGCTAATTATTTCATTAGCCAATGAAATTCCTGTTTAACATAATTTTGTTACTGTGTGCCTTTCCAACATAAATAAAATGCTCTGCTGGGTGCAGCTTGATACGACCGCAGAGGTCGAACCCTGAACAGTTGGGGCAAGTATGGACACAACATTCAAGCTTGATACAGCACTGAATTTGGAATGTGATTAAATATTTGACACAGCATAGGTTTCTGACACAGAATGAATGTGGTCTAAGAACTTAAAAATTTTTAATTTACCTTTTCAAACCATATCATTATTATTTGCTTTTATATATAAATCAGAAATAACCAATTTAAAATGGAAAATTTTAAAGAAAAAAAAAAGGAAAAAAAGGGAAAAAAAATCCCTCTCCCAAATTTGTTGAACCCCCTTATGATTCATCACCCCCAAACTCAATCCCAGCCTTCCCTTTGTGGTATGGTACCTTACAGTACAATTTCAGAGAGATCCATACACTTGAACACAAGTTATTGTCTTGAAACTAGAAAAATACTTGTTTTTAGGCCCCTTTTTGGCCCCAAATTCCTAAACGTTTAGGGCAATTACCCCAAAACTCAAACCAAGCTTTCCCTTTGTGATATGGAACCTTGTAGTACAATTTCATAAAGATCCATACACTTACACACAAGTTATTGTCCTGAAACTAGAAAAATGCTTGTTTTTTACCCCTTTTTGACCCCTAATTCCTAAAATTTTGAGGCAATTACCCCCAAAATCAATCCCAGCCTTCCCTTTGTGGTATGGTACCTTGCAGTACAATTTCAGAGAGATCCATACACTTGAACACAAGTTATTGTCTGGAAACTAGAAAAAAATGCCTATTTCTGGGCCCTTATTCCTTAACGTTTTGGGCAATTACCTCCAAACTAAATTCCAGCTTTCCCTTTGTGATCTGGAACCTTGTAGTACAATATCAGAAAGATCCATACACTTACACACAAGTTATTGTCATGAAACTAGAAAAATGCTTATTTTTTTACACCCTTTTTGGCCCCTAAAGTTAGAGTGCGAAAACCAATGTGTCTTTGGACGACGACGACGACAACAACGACAACGTCATACCAAGATACGACCACAAATTTTTTTGGCAGTCGTATAAAAATAAACTGTTGACACAGAGATATGTCTCGCCTGTCAGCATAAAATTCAGAAAAAGACAATCTGATGGACAGCAACATTACTAATTAATTCAATGTCGCTGGACCAACTAGTGGGTGAGGCCTCGAAATGCTTGACAAACTGAGATGTACAAATAGCAATGTAACTTTATAGAAAATATTGTCTATTGTAAGTAGTTCATATCAAACTAACTTTAGCAGAAAACTTATCATTGAAAATTGCTTATTAATTGAAAGTCACTGAACCATGGCCTAGGGAGCAGGGCCTCAAAATAGTCCTCAAACTAATATGTACTGATAGCAATGCAACTTCACACAAAATATCATTGATCTATCACTAGTAGTTCCTATCAATCTAACTTAAGCAGAATACTTAACATTGAAAACAGCTAATTAATTCAAAGTCATTGGACCAATGCCTAGGGGGCAGGGCCTCAAAATAGTCATCAAACTGATATGTACTGATAGTAATGCATCTCCATACAAAATATCAATGATCTATCTCAAGTAGTTCCTATCAAACTAACTTAAGCAGAAAACTTAACAATTGTTGACGCCGTCATCACCGTCGCCGGAAGAGCAATCCCTATGTCTCGCTTTCCGCGACTTTCGTTGCAGGCAAGGCAAAAACCAGAGGAACATATAAGGTTTTCAAAACAGACAGTAGAATGGAATGTTATCAGATCCTTGTAAGCAAAGCAAGGACGCAGGATCTCTATTTTCATATAGATGTGCACATTGTTAAAATATGATTCTCTGAGGTTTTCCAAGGGTGTTAGAATCAATCCTACAAATCAAGATAATTGTTGTTGTTTGCATTGCAGTTGTCTATTCCATATCAGGGCTGTAACTACACAATAAAACCAAAAGGTGAAAACATTAAAGGTTTATTTACTAAAACTTAACATTTACAAGCAGTTAAATTGTTATTTAAGTCTAAAACATAAATGATGTAAGCAAAAAAACTAAAATAAAACTAAACAAATAATAAACAATTTAAAGTATAAGTATGTTATTAAATAGTAACCTTGTTTAGGATATACCCTGTATCCCTGAAATCTTTGAATTGAATATCCCTTGAAAAAGGAGTTCTGTATCCATTAATATAGAAGTATTCTACACCAAAGCACAAAAGTGCCCATTTAACATGCGTAGTAAGCCATACTTTGTTTAAAATTCTTAAACAAGACTCAAATAATACAGATTCTTGAAAGATACAAGATACTTCAGGCATTTCTATTGCTATAAAATAAGGAGATGTGGTATGAATGCCACATAGACAACTATCCACCTTAGTTCTATATAGAGCAAAACCCATAGTTATTTTTATTTTGAAAATAACTTACTCTTTTCTTATTCATGTTCTAACAAAATATTAAAAAAAGGTAGACTTGATTACTTTACAATGAATTTGACAGTGACATTCTCGTACAAATTATGTGATCAGATCTGTTTCTACAGACACATTGTTATTTTATCACAAAAGAACCTTTAGAAAGTTTTTGAGAGTTCTAATGTCCTTTTTGATTTCAATACTAATGCTGTATTATGCATTAGTGTTTTCAAAATTCAAAAGTATCTCTAGAAACAACTAAAATTTTCAAACTCACCTGAATTAATAAAAAATATAGAAATGTGCATCATTTGCAGGGAATATTATAAATACAAGTACATTTTGTACTGAATAAATAATAATATATAAAATATATCTCCATATTATCTCTCTATTAGACACTTGTATACAATGTATGTTCATTCCTATATTAAACAACCAACTATATTACGTCTATAAATCTGAATCAGGGTTATAATAAATATAGATAAAATAAATGAAAATGTATAGATAGTGCTTCAATAACTTTGAAAAGACAACAATATTTCTGCTATGAGCAGCCTAAGTAGAAAATGTGTTATAATAATTCATCAAGTACGCTTAATGCAAAAAGTTAGAAATCAGGTATTGAGATATAGGATAAAGATATATAAATATGTTACTCTTGACTACTTCAAATCATGGAGATATTACATTGCATGACTGTCTTTATACATTTTTTTCCATAGATCTGTCAAATGGGATTTTGTAAACTTGCCATTCTTTTCTAGATGGTGTATTCCTGACAAATTATTAATTGCTGTAATATTTTTGGCTGTTAAATTGATCCTTGTTAATGTGATTCTTACAGATCACCAAAGTTAATCAAGGACATTTCTTAACTTCACTCTCACTTTAGTCTTTTTGTTGTGATGGACAAATTCTAATTATTTTGAAATGTTTGCCTTGTTATACCCGTACCAAATGTGGCAGCTTTATTAGCATAATGAAAAGATTGGTAAAGCATACATGTATGTGTATTTATAGCATCAAATATAACATAACCTCATGAAATGTGAGGACAAGTGAAATGAAAGAGACATCTTCAGTAAGCTGAACACAACAAATTGTCAGGACTTAATAAAATATTTTTTTTATAAAATTGAAAACTTTTATACGGATTCATCTATAATAGCAATCACTCAGGCCAAATAGAATAAATGTGTGATTCCGGTTATTATTTATGTTTATTTTTAAAAAATAACAGGGTTGGTAGGTAGGGATTTTTGTTTATTTGGATAGTTCTTTTCTTTAGAATACACTATAACACATAGGACACATTGTGACTAAAAGATGTTTACTTGAAAAAAAATTTATGTTAGAGGAGCTAGGGGTTCAAAATAAGGGTAGCTAGGGGCTCAAAATTAGGGTAGGCTGGGAAACCAGAATCACTTTTTATTTAATTTGGCCTCATGGTATAAAGTATTTAATATCACAACCATTTTTCTACTAAACATTATACCAGACAAACCTGTATGATCAATTATTAATTCATAAAATAAAATGCTTCGCTGGGGCGCAGCTTGATACGACCGCAGAGGTCGAACCCTGAACAGTTGGGGCAAGTATGGACACAACATTCAAGCTTGATACAGCTCTGAATTTGGATTGTTATTAAATATTTGACACAGCATAGGTTTCTGACACAGAAAGAATGTGGTCTAAGAACTTGAATTTTTTTTATTTACCTATTATGTCCAAAATCAAAATACATGGTTAGATTCAGCATATCAAAGAACCCCATATTTTCAATTTTTGTTGAAATCAAACAAATTTTAATTTTGGACCCCAACTTGGACAAACTTGAAAACTGGGCCCATAATCAAAAATCTAAACACATGTTTAGATTCAGCATATCAAAGAACCCCAATAATTCAATTTTTGCTAAAATCAAACTAAGTTTAATTTTGGACCCTTTGGACCTTAATGTAGACCAATTTAAAAAACGGGACTTAAAATTAAAAATCTAAATACACGGTTAGATTTGGAATATCAAAGAACCCCAATAATTCAATTTTTGATGAAATCAAACAAAGTTTAATTTTGGACCCTTTTGACCTCAATATAAACCAATTTGATAGCAGGGCCCACAAATAAAAAATCTAAATTCATGGTTAGATTCAGCATATCAAAGAACCCCATATATTCAATTTTTGTTGAAATCAAAAAAAGTTTAATTTTGGACCCCAACTTGGACCAACTTGAAAACTGGGCCCATAATCAAAAATCTAAACACATGTTTAGATTTAGCATATCAAAGAACCCTAAGAATTCAATTTTTGTTAAAATCAAACTAAGTTTAATTTTGGACCCTTTGGACCTCAATGAAGACCAATTTTAAAAAATGGGACCCAAATTAAAAATCTAAAAACACGGTTAGATTTGGCATATCAAAGAACCCCAATAATTCAATTTTTGATGAAATCAAACAAAGTTTAATTTTAGACCCTTTTGACCTCAATATGAACCAATTTGATAGCGGGTCCCACAAATAAAAAATCTAAATACATGGTTAGATTCAGCATATCAAAGAACCTCATATATTCAATTTTTGTTGAAATCAAACAAAGTTTAATTTTGGACCCCAATTTGGACCAACTTGAAAACTGGGCCCATAATCAAAAATCTAAATACATGTTTAGATTCAGCATATCAAAGAACCCCATATATTCAATTTTTGTTGAAATCAAACAAAGTTTAAATACTGGACCCTATCTTGGACCAACTTGAAAACTGGGCCCATATTCAAAAATCTAAACACATGTTTAGATTCAGCATATCAAAGAACCCCAAGAATTCAATTTTTGTTAAAATCAAACTAAGTTTAATTTTGGACCCTTTGGACCTTAATGTAGACCAATTTAAAAAACAGGACCCAAAATTAAAAATCTAAATACACGGTTAGATTTGGAATATCAAAGAACCCCATTAATTCAATTTTAGATGAAATCAAACAAAGTTTAATTTTGGACCCTTTTGACCTCAATATGAACCAATTTGATAACGGGGTCCACAAATAAAAAATCTAAATACATGGTTAGATTCAGCATATCAAAGAACCTCATATATTCAATTTTTGCTAAAATCAAACAAAGTTTAATTTTGGACCCTTTGGACCTTAATGTAGACCAATTTGAAAACTGGACCTAAAATTAAAAATCTAAATACACTGTTAGATTCGGCATAACAAATAAATAAATGTGATCAAAGATTTTACAAATCTAATGCACCATACTGTGCAATTAAAGATTACTTCTTGAAATTTTTCAATATTTGAAATTTGAAAAAAAAATAATATTTGAAGAATAATTCTTTTTAATTTCTGAAATCTGAAATGAGAAAAAATTGACCCCCCACAATTTCTTTTTATCCCCCCCCCCCCCCCCCCCTTTTTTCCCCAAAAAATTCTTTCCCTCAAGATATGGTCATAATCTCAATTCAAATTTCCAATGGAGTTGGCAACCATAATTACCCATTTAAATTTACCATAGTGCTAACTTAATCTATTTTATAATAGAATTAAAAATATAGTGTCAAATCTTTCATATGGATTTTTTTGTAAAAAAAAAAGATGCAACATTTGCAGATATTTTTACTGGTCTTCCTTTATAAATATGTATTTCTTTAAACATAATTTAAAAGCAGTGTAAGGGAAGTAACCAAAACGTTGTATTTGGATTACCTCCCTTACACTGTTTTAAATTATCTTTATTGTTCATTAACCATTACTTTATACATAATTTAAAAGCAGTGTAAGGGAGATAATTTCAATGATGTATTTGATTTATCTCCCTTACACTGCTTTAAATTATGTTTTGTACTAAAGTATTTGTCCATTAACCAGGACAACCTTGTTTTTCCCCCTTTTTTGCCCCTAATTCCTAAACGGTTTGAGCCATAACCCCCCAAAGCAAATCCTAACCATCCCTTTGTGGTATGGAAACTTGTAGTATAATTTCAGAGTGATCCATACACCGTTCCACAGTTATTGTCTGGAAACTAGAAAATGCTTATTTTTGGCCCCTTTTTGGCCCCTAATTCCTTAACTGTTGGTACCATAACCCCCAAAATCAATCCCAACCTTCCTTTTGTGGTATTTAACCTTATGGTCAAATTTCAAAAAGATCCATTCACTTAAACTAAAGTTAGAGTGCGAAAACCAATGTGTCTTCGGACGACGACGCTGGACGACGACGACGCCGCCGCCAACGTCATACCAATATACGACCACAAATTTTTTTGCGGTCGTATAAAAAGCTATCTTCTCTTACATCTTGTCACATATTTGAATTTAAATAAATAAATAAATACAAATCAAATATCACTTCTTTCATCGTTTTGTTATATTATGAAAATATAAATTTGGAAATCATAACAATCTTATTCAGACAGATGTTCATTAATATGGAGGTCTCCCAATCATCGCAAAAACTTACACACAATTATCTTGACAATTATCAATACAAAAAATAAAGATAATATCTCATAACTGACCATTTTGTGAGTACACATAATAAACATGTTAAGATGATGAATACCATATACAATGGGTACATAATGTATATGTCCCAAATATTTCCATAAGAGCATTGTTTGGTCAAACTACATACATGTGTGGTAAGTCCCATAACTCTAGAGTGACATAAAAAATGTATCACTGACAGCCTAAAGGCAATCTTCTAAAGCATAAATGTGTAAGGGTTTTACCTGCTTACAACAAGGCCTTTTTTGGTCAAATCACATATGCATGGATGTTGCACAAATAAAACAAAATAATAAAATTAATTCAAAATGGAGGTCTTCTGACTTCATAAATACCGGTAATAATTAATCAAGGTATACTGGATTTTAAGTTAAAGTGGGTTTACAGACAATCAGACAATGCATCACAATATACTACAATACATCAATTAATAAGGTGTATAAAAACACCAAAACAAACATCTATACCTACATGTATAAATGACAAAAAAACATACAAAGAACCAAACAATATATAGCACTATCAAACAATATAAAGCAATTAAATAAATATCAACTAGCCCCAGAGCCAAACTAAGGCTAAGCAATTAATAAACTGAGAGACACATGTAAATCATTATTATTGCAAAATTAATACTCGTAACTATTCTGAATTGTTCGGTTAAAGTAAAATCTAAATAAAACATCACAATTCTCACCATGTCCATTGACCCTAACTTCAACCAAAACATAACTAACATGCTCATACAAAACATACATAGTTTCAGAACTTTCAGCTCTAACAATGCCACAATGGTTTCAACTCTAACAACGCCACACATGGTTTCAGCTCTAACAACGCCACACATGGTTTCAGCTCTTAACAACACCACACATGGTTTCAGCTCTAACAACGCCACACATTGTTTCAACTCTAACAACGTCACACATGGTTTCAGCTCTAACAACCCCAATTTTATTCTCTTACGTATACATGTATCTTACTTTTCCAATTTTCAACTTTTTTTATTCAACAAAAACGCATACTTTTTATAGTAAAACAAGTAGTATAACCTAATAAAATTACTTTTTTGTCACCAGGGCTTTTTATATACTAAAGAAAAAAATTTGAGGTAGTGTTACTTTTCAGCGCCATCTCTTTTATGTCACTGACGTTCATGTTTTTATCTGCCTTTGTATCACCTAGGTTGAGATTTATATCCTTTTTACCAATTGCATTAAAGATGGTAATGTTCTTGTGGTCTAAGTCATCACTATGACTTTTATCTGTTAGTTTATGATGTAGAGAAACTGCTGCAATCACAACTAATACCAAAATGATAAAAATTGCAAAAATGAAACAGAATGTGGCATTTCTTGATTGTCTCCGTATTTTGTCTTCCCGACTTTGTGTAAATAATCTATGTTCTCGATGAAGAAGAAGAGCAGTATCTCGTACATAAGGAGCACTATTATTGCTTGTAACAGTCGAGTAGTTGGATACAAACTGCCCTCCTTCCAAGTCATGGATGGTAGAATAGTTGGATTTCATAGGATCCATTATTTCTATACAGTCAGGACGGGTAATTGGAACACATGGTTCATCACCATTTTCGAATGAAATACTTTTTTTTGCTTCAGACATTCTTTTAGCTTATGATTATATCTAGCTATATTCAGTTGGTCCACTTTTATCTTCTCTCAGCTTTGCTGAAGTTCCAACCTTAGGTCACTGCAGTTATTCTCATCTTTTGTGAAGTAACCTAAAAAATAAACATTGTCATAATTAATTATATATGCCAACACCACTGCATAGTCCTGTTACCTGTTGAGGTGTTAATCAATTTGATGATTTTTGTCAGTTTTCAAATTATCTTTCTAATTAACAAAATACTTCCTTTTGTATTTTTATTATTATAGCTGTCAACAAATATTTCAGTATAAAATATACCGTGTGTCAAATAAAAGGCTCCAAAGGGCCCAGCTTGATACGACTGCAGAGGCAAATCTGTGTCAAAATTTTTTTTTGAATTTTTAGCTGTGACGCTTCTTCTCTTTAAAAATAAAAGTCCTTTTCAAAACAATAACTTTAGTATAAGTGTATGGATCTCTATGAAATTTAATCAAAAGGTTCAATACCACAAAAGGAAAATTTTTTTGAAAAGGACTTTTATTTTTAAAGAGTAGGAAGGGGTCACAGCTAAAAATTAAAAAAAAAAATTGGGGGGGGGGGGGGGGGGGGGGCAATTTTTCCTCAAAAGAAAATTTTAAACTTAGTAAATCTGTTTTCAGACAATATATACAAAGAACATGAAGAATTAGCAATTGACAATTTCTTAAATCTTGAGGAAAAAAAAATTGAACCCCCCAATAAAATGTTTACCCCCCCCTTTTTTCCCAAAAAAATAATTTTGAAGACATCCATACACTTAAACACAAGTTATTGTCTTACAAAATGCTCTGCTGGGCGCAGCTTGATACGACCGCAGAGGGTGAACCCTGAACAGTTGGGGCAAGTATGGACACAACATTCAAGCTTGATACAGCTCTGAATTTGGATTGTGAATAAATATTTGACACAGCATAGGTTTCTGACACGGAATGAATGTTGTCTAAGAACTTAAAAAATTCTAATTTACCTATTATGGTCCAATATCCAAAATCTAAATACATACACGGTTAGATTCAGCATATCAAAGAACCCCAATATTTCAATTTTTGATGAAATCAAACCACGTCATTATTATTTGCTTTTATATATAAATAAAAAATAACCAACTTATAACAGAAAATTTTAAAGAAAAAAAAAAGGAAAAAAGGGAAAAAAAATCCCTCCCCCAATTTTTTGAACCCCCTTATGATTTATCTACCCCAAACTCAATCCCAGCCTTCCCTTTGTGGTATGGTACCTTGCAGTACAATTTCAGAGAGATCCATACACTTGAACACAAGTTATTGTCATGAAACTAGAAAAATGCTGGTTTTTGCCCCTTTTATGACCCCTAATTCCTAAAATTTTGAGGCAAATACCCCCAAAATCAATCCCAGCATTCCCTTTGTGATATGGAACCTTTTGGTACAATGTCAGAGAGATCCATACACTAACCCACAAGTTATTGTCTGGAAGTTACAAAAATGCTTATTTTTGGCCCCTTTTTGGCCCCCTAATTCCTTAACTGTTGGTACCATAACCCCCAAAATCAATCTGAACCTTCCTTTTGTGGTATTGACAACGACGCCAACGTCATACCAATATACGATGAGGTCGTATAAAAACTAGAAAAATGCTTGTTTTGGCCACCTAATTACTAAAGGGTTGGGACCATCACCCCCAAAAAACAATCCCAACCTTCCTTTTGTGGTATTGAACCTTTTGATTAAATTTCATAGAGATCCATACACTTAAACTAAAGTTATTGTCCGGAATCCAAATGTATGATTTGAATTTATATTCAACTGAAGATTTCTTGCTGTTGTGCAATACACTGTGCTGTTGTGCAATACTTAGTAAATATGTTTTCAGATGAAAAGTTTATAAAATGTGTTCAAAAATGAAACTACGTCATCCGAGCTGCAATAAGTGATCGTTTGAGAAATTTTGATCGCCCTGTGAAATCGATCTAGCTGGAACACTGTATATTTACTTTATGAATACACCTCATTGCTATTTGTTCGCCGGGACATCACAAAGGTTCCCATAAGATTTTGACGCCACAAAGGATAAGTGATTGCTGTAAGATGTACAATGTCAATAGTTCAAGTGTCGCATATTCCAAATAGGTATAAGGTCTACATTGTGAAATAGTGTGGCTGATCTGGATTTGTGGTCTCGACTCGAGCATCAAATAACACAACACAAAAGAAAGAGTGTCTGTTATGGCCTTAAGCTTGTTATCTTCTAATAGTTCTATTTCAAATACAGAAATATATTTCAGGGCTGAAAAATTCATATCGGGAGTTTATTCTCATTTTAGAAGAAGTCGAAGAGTGCCTGGTACAAATTTAAACAGCTGTTTCATCAGTGGAATCCATTTCTGTATGAGTACGTTGTGGATACCCATAGGCAATAGCCAAATTATACTGGCTTAAATACAACGGTTCTTTCTAATCATTAGATACAGTACTTACCAAACACATTTTTATAAACATGATAAAGAATGATTATCATTTCACATAAAATATTTCATTCAATAATGTATTGCTGTAGCCAAGCTAAGTGTGGTGATAACCAGAATAATCTGGATAATACACAACTGCAAACTGGAAAAAAATGAGTAATCACATGATCAAGCAACACAATTTCTTCATTCAAAAAGGTATTTTTTCCCCGTTAACAAACACAATAATGATTAAGATCATTACAGGGGGCATAACCCGTGTACTAAATTGAAAGTAGATACAGCGTGAGCAATGCTTTGATATTTTAAACAGACCATGGAAAGACAAGGTTTGCCAGGGGCGGATCCAGAACCTCGATGTCTGGGGGGGCACCATGAAACCAAATTTAAAGATTTGTTTAGAGATAAAATTGAGAATGGAAATGGGGAATGTGTCAAAGAGACAACAACCCGACCACAGAACAGACAACAGCAGAAGGCCACCAACAGGTCTTCAATGCAGCGAGAAATTCCCGCACCCGGAGGCGTCCTTCAGCTGGCCCCTAAACAAATATATATACTAGTTCAGTGATAATGAACGCCATACTAAACTCCAAATTGTACACAAGAAACTAAAATTAAAAATAATACAAGACTAACAAAGGCTAGAGGCTCCTGACTTGGGACAGGCGCAAACTAAAATTTATAATAAATCTCTATATTTGTGATAAAATTAAGTAGAGGTTTTGACAAATTTATGACATCTTTATTCCGAGGTAAATTTTTTTAGATAAAAAAGTAATCCTTATTTCATCTTTTTTTTTTTTGCAGTTTAATCTAATTTTTTTCAGATTAATAGTAATCAGAAAATGTATGATTACATGTGACAACATTGTGAAATGCAATTGATTACTATGATTACGATTACTGATTATGATTACCCCATGCCTGGTTTAGTAAAAGGACAGGTTCTGTGGTGATAAAACAGACTTTTTCTAGTAATTTATTTATAATGATTAAAAAAAGGAATTATACAACACGCAAAACCTATATATACAACCTTTAGAGACAGACAATTGTAAAACACGTAATGTTCCTTTTAAATAGGTGGAAAGTAGTATACAAATCTTGAATGGATTGAAACTAATTGCACAGTATTTTGATTCAAATGTGTCGGACAAAATGCAACATTTCTGACGATTTTGGCTTCCTTGGTCATCTATGACATAAATATACCATAACATTCAACCAAATCAGGTTGACATCCTTAAAATCCGACGAGTAGAATTCAATTGTATCTATGATGAGTTTATTTACCTATAGGAACCCATTATTTAGTACCTGCCTTGTAAGGTGTAATACCAACGAAAATAGGTCGAAAAAAAATATTCCCTTGAATTTGACAGTTGTAGGTAATTGATCCTACATTTCATTGCAGTAAAACATTTCTGAGTCATAAACATATATCTTGGGTATTTCAAAGCACCATTATTTCTTTATTTGGAGTTTCTATAGAATATTTTGGAAACTTGAGGTTACATTGCAGGGGCGGATCCAGAACCTCGATGTCTGGGGGGGGCACCATGAAACCAAATTTAAAGATTTGTTTAGAGATAAAATTGAGAATGGAAATGGGGAATGTGTCAAAGAGACAACAACCCGACCACAGAACAGACAACAGCAGAAGGCCACCAACAGGTCTTCAATGCAGCGAGAAATTCCCGCACCCGGAGGCGTCCTTCAGCTGGCCCCTAAACAAATATATATACTAGTTCAGTGATAATGAACGCCATACTAAACTCCAAATTGTACACAAGAAACTAAAATTAAAAATAATACAAGACTAACAAAGGCTAGAGGCTCCTGACTTGGGACAGGCGCAAAAATGCGGCGGGGTTAAACATGTTTATGAGATCTCAACCCTCCCCCTATACCTCTAGCCAATGTAGAAAAGTAAACGCATAACAATACGCACATTAAAATTCAGTTCAAGAGAAGTCCGAGTCTGATGTCAGAAGATGAGATGTATATATGGTGGTGGTGTCATGTATTGGGGATGATGGTGGTCGTGTGGGGGGGGGGGTCAGGTCTTCATTTCTATATCTTTTAATTAATTTTGGGTCCATTTCTTTCTACTCATTTATTTGCTGCATAATGTCCTCTATTCTTTATAGTTCAACACCCTTAATCTGTTTTCTATATTTTTTGGGCCCATTTTTTTCTAGTCTACTTTTTGACCATTATTCAGTCTAATCTGTAAACCCCATTCATACCCTCATTCACGGTAAACCATTCATACCTCATTCCTGACGGTAACCTATTCATACCCTCATACACGGTAATTGAAACAAGAAAATATATACAAATATTACTGTACTATAAGTAGGTTTTCAAAAATACAACATCATTTTATTGATGATATATATCAGCAGAGACATATAATACAATATGTCTCAGATATCAGGCACAAACCATTCATGTTTTGTGGAAGGGGGTGTTTTTTTTAAAGACAAATCGATGGTTTCCATAAAAAATATGAGGAAAAGAAACACGACATTTGAGTTTAAATAAAAATGCTGTATGCATTGAAAAAATTGTTTGTTGTTTAATAAAGTTCGAAAAAGACTGTTCTGAGAAAGACACATTCCCCAGAAACCGTATACAATGTGAGTGTTTGGTAATATAAAGACGTATATCTCATATCGATACTAACCTTCTTGACACTAAACATCTATTTTTACATATTCTTTTAAGACCGATTTTAGTTGGTAATTTCTTTCCTGATAAGAAGATTTCACTTGTTAATCGATATTGATCCTGTTAATATATTCGTATTAATTCCAACCAGCATGTACATGTACATGTAGTTTACATAAATGCTTTTGGATATAGACATTAATTTACACAAAGGTGTCAATATTTACACACCCATCGATAACTTGTCATAAATCACGCATGTTGAAGCTGGGGTTAATTAATGACCAGTTTAGGAAGTCAAATCAAGCTGTGTCTTGATTTTCTATCTAGATATCTAGATAAGCAGATACAGTAGCAATAAAACTATGTGAGAATTTTTTTTTGTGACCTCGACTGGGGGGGCACGTGCCCCCTGTGCCCCCCCGGTAAATCCGCCACTGTAAATTGCAAAGTCATTATCATTCATCCAACTATAGTACATGGCCAAAAGTGTTACATTTTTTCAAAATATTTTGGTTGGATTTTACAAACCATGTGTTGAGAGATACATTTGTTTATTTGGTCATAGTTTTGTCTTCAGTTGTTCTTTGATTTCTCCTGATGTGGCATACATGTGATGGACTGTGAAACTCAGATCAGGAGATTGGGAAATTTTGGTCAGGAAATTAGGACTCAGATCAGGAGGTTTTTAATCGACATAAATTTTGTCGTAAATGTAACCGTGTGCTGTAAAAATTGTCTTTTAAAGTGTGTTTTCTTCAACTTTCAATCCGAATGTATTATATATTATGTATTATGTTTATAGTACCCTTGTACTTATAAAGTTTCTTTATCTTTATATTCTACATGTTCAATCTAACATTCTTATTTTTTGGTCTGTTCTTCAAATTTTTCAATTCATATCTTTTATATCATTATTCTATAGAACATACATTGCAATCAGATCATTTGTTTAACTATCTGCATTTGCATTCAGATCATTTGTTTAACTATCTGCATTTGCAATTAAGATTTTTTTTTTTTATCTTTATTTGCAATTAGATTTTATTTGATTAATCAGAAACTTTTTAAGTTTATCACAAGGGTCATAGTTGTTATAAATTCAATTTAAGCCTTGAAAGAAAGTATAGAACCCTCAAATAATTTTCAAATTATTATTTTTTTTATTTGTCCTAAGACATTTAAAATCATTTAATTGCCATCCTTTTATGATTATTTGTTCAATTTATATTTTATTTATATTCTTTTAAAAATTTACATTATTTAAAGGAAAGTAACTTTAAAACAGGATAAATCAATGGAAGTAACCCAATAAATACACAAAGTTTTTATTACACAACAGCAGTTAGCCTGAGGTAAAAATCGTTGATTACCAGTATGTTTGACACCCAAGCTGACAAGTGTAGCCATATTATTATGCATGTTAATTGATTTACAGGTAAAATATAACTTCAGGTAATGTCAGTTACACCAGATGTCTTGAGATGATATGTTGGGCAGAAATTTTTCATTCATGAAAAATTTCATACACGGGATTTTTTTCTCTTCAACGGGAGGTCGGGAGGAGACCCCTGAAAACGGGATTATTGTACTCCCGTCTGGAGGTTCACATGTATGTGTGGACACGTATTAAATTTTTGTACAATTTAATTTGGTTGTAATATATAGGAAATCTCTTTATCAAAAATAGAACTTGTGTAATATGCATTATGTTTATAGTACCCTTGTACTTATAAAGTATAAAGACAATACTGAACAAATATATCTTTAAACACAAAAAACAGATATATGCCTGTTTTGTAGACTTTTCCAAGGCATTTGATTCAATTTGGCATGATGGGTTATTTGAAAAACTTTTAAAACTAGTAGTCAAAGGACATTTTTTCCAATTACTTCACCATATGTATAATAATGCAAAATTTGTTGTAAAAAAAGATAACACTATTACTGAGCCATCTAAATTAGGAAAAGGTGTGCGACAAGGCGATGGCTTAAGCCCCCTCTTATTTAATATATATGTCAATGATATTGATTCAATTTTCCCCCAAGATTCATGTTTTCCGGTGCAGCTTATAGACACTAGAATGAATTGCTTATTATATGCTGATGATTTACTATCTGAAAGCAAAGAAGGTCTTCAATCCTGTTTAAATTCTCTAAAAACATACTGTGATAGATGGAAGCTGAATGTCAATTTAAATAAAACAAAAATTAGGATCTTCAGTAAAGGTAAAAAAGATTTCAAAAAATTTAAGTTTTTTTTATAATAACCATGATAACAAAGAAATTGAAATTGTTGAGAAATATAAATATCTAGGTATTATCATTTACTTTAATGGAAATTTTAAACATGCTGCAGAACACTTATACAAACAAAGCTTAAAAGCACTTTTTTCTATGCATTCTAAGACATTTGGATTCAATACTATAGATCATAAACTAAAATTAAAACTATTTGATACTCTAATAAGACCCATAAGTACTTATGGATCTGAAATATGGATTAGTGACTACAATATAAAAGACTCAAATATTGATAAATTACCTTTTGAAAAAATTCATAATAAATTCTGTAAAAATATTTTAGGAGTTCACAAGAGAAGTTCAAATATGGCAGTGAAGTGTGAATTAGGAAGACAACCTACTTTGAATCATATACTAATCCTAGCCCTTAAATATTATGATCGACTTAAACAGCTTCCATCTGACAGACTGCTTAGTGAAATATATAAATTAGATCATTCATTATCTACTGATGGACACAGATCTTGGCACAAATTTATCTCGAACTCTATTGAAAAATATAATTTAACAGACAATAATCTTAATTTAAAGAACTTAAAGGAAAATATTAATAACCAACATTCTAATAACACTTTGCATAATCTAAAAAAATTACGTTCTATTGAACAAGACAATAAATTACATTTCTATGCCAATATTTATTCAGAAGAATTTAAATTGCAAAATTATCTATTGTATAACTAATATAACAAGAAATCTTACAAAATGAAGAATTAGTTCCCACCCTCTTTTGATTGAAAAGGGTAGATATTTCAGACCAAAAATTGAGAGAGAAAACAGAATATGCTTGAACTGCAATCAAATAGAGGATGAAAAACATTTCCTTATTTATTGCAAAAGATTTGAAAATTATAGAAAACAACTATTTAATAAACTAAATATTAATTCACAAGATCTGTGCCCTGAAAAAGTTATGAAAACCATTATTAGTTTACTTAACCCACAAAATATTGATGATACAAAAAATATATATGCCATTACATACAATTATGCTTTGAATCTTTGTAATTTTATTCATTTAACCTTGATTTAATATTTTGTCATACATAATATATATTTATCTTTCTGATGTAATATCATGTTAATGTGGGGGAAGACATCATTATACTTTGTATAGATTTTCCTGATTTAATAAAACTTGAAACTTGTAAACATAGTTTATATAATCAGAAAATGAAAAAATGCTCCAGAACAGAAATTCAACCAAATAAACAAACCTGTGATAATTCTGCTTCTATTGGTACACAGTTTTTGTCGAGCCTGCAACTTCTGTCGCAGAAAGCGAGACATAGGGATAGTGATCCGGCAGTGTTAACAAACTTCTTAAAAGCTTAATATTTCAGAAGGTAGAAGACCTGGATCCTTCATACTTTGTAAAAGATGCCTTACATGTATGTCATGAAGTTCCCGTCTGTAAAATGTCCATTGTCCTTGAACTCATTTTCATGGTTCAGTGACTACTTGAAAAAAAAGTTAAGATTTTTAGTATTCTTAATTTCTATCTTCTTATGAGTAATGCCCTGATTCATGTTTTTTTTTAAATCCAACTAAAGTAGAAATGACTCCAAAATATTTTTGGGAAAAACTTAATTTTGTTGGAAATAAATGCATCCAGGTCTGATCGCTCTGATTCATGTTTGCCCTGGTACCTGTTTGCCCTAATATCTGTTCTCCCACGGTCCAATCGCACTGGGTTTCACCCTGATTTTTATTTTATTTTGTTGTCTTGTCATATAATATAAATTATTTGAATAAGTTATTTTAAAGTTTGTTGAAATTTCACTGAATGTAGCAGATAATTTTTATTCTTTAATTTGTTACAGGTAAAACAAAATCCAACTCGAACTTAGTCATTCGCATCAAACACTAGTTATGTCCTAACACCTTGAGATCAAAGAAGCCAAGCTGCGAAAAAAATTTCCCTTTAATGCAGATTATAAACCTTAAAATAAACCATAATTATTGATATTTTTTTTTATAAAAATCTATGGGCAAGTGAACCCAGGGCGTATGGACCCCTGACAACATTTAATTAGAGCAAACGGACCAGATACCAGAGATGTAAAGTTAAAAATGACAAGTGACGAATACTTACGGCCACTCACTGTACTTGTACTGACTGTGAGTCTCATTGACTCAATATAACATCCTTCACTTCATAAATACATATACCATATATATGTAAGACACAAAATGTGCACCAGATTTAAGTTACAAACACATTTATCTTGTTTTGTAACCTCAATTAAAGCAATGGTTACAGTGGTTACATACAATGTATATGACAAATATATTGATCTTGCAAAGTTCATGACAGATAAGTTGATTACATTGATTACATAATTATCATTACATCTCCAGTTCTCCACCTGTGATCTAGTAATCTCAGTCTCAACCTGTGATCTAGTAATCTCAGTCTCCACCTGTGATCTAGTAATCTCAGTCTCCACCTGTGATCTAGTAATCTCAGTCTCCACCTGTGATCTAGTAATCTCAGTCTCCACCTGTGATCTAGTAATCTCAATCTCCACCTGTGATCTAGTAAACTCAGTCTCCACCTGTGATATAGTAATCTCAGTCTCCACCCATTACCAAAAAGTTATTGTTATGTTTAAGACTAATTGTCACAATGCTAGGTAGGGTTAGGAACTCCTTAATTACAAATGTAACAATAATATTTGTGTATAGGGTTATATTGTGCATGTTGTGTTATTTTTACCTTAGCTCTTGACAAGGTGTCCCACATCATATTCCTACTTAAACTACATCCTGATGGCATCAGAAGTAAGACAAACAAATAATCTGGAGCATGAAATATCAAGGGTTATGGTTAAATAAATGGTACTGGCTACAAGATATTGTTACTTTTTGGACTAATTGCTGGAATGCAAGGTCAGGTTGGGAACTGATTGATTTAATATGGATGTAACAATAGTATTTGTGTCTACAGTAGCGTTGCATTATTGTTACGTCAATGTATTTCGATGTATGACACACATTAAAATACAACTTGAAAAACAATTAATTTTGAATCAATTTAATAATACAATATTGTATGTACATTGAAATTTATGTTTTTTTTCATTTTTTCACAAATATTGTTAAACCATAAATTGGTATTCAGTCAGTTGTAGACAATTTTGATATGATATTTTAGATGTTTTATGTTTTTGTAAAATCTTGAATTGAGGGTCTTTTGGAACCAACTTGAATTAATTTGTATAATCATTTAAAATATTAAAATAACTGAAGTTTATAGGATTTTTTCCCCATTTTGTAACAGAATAACTTTCCACAATGAAGGAATATTTATTTGAAATTATGTGTTGTTCAGGAATAATTTTACTGCAAAGAAAGAACAGTATGATTTGGAGTCAATTACAAATAAAAGATAATTTTCTGATAAAGCTTTCAAGCTGAAATTTTAAAAATTGTGATCATTAATAATGTCATACAACTTTTTACTTTAGTATTGAGTGAATTTTGCAACTCCAAATAAGCATAAACATGTAAAATTTACCTTTTCTTTTTACAAAATATGCATTAAACATGTTAAAGTTACCTAAGTTACATGTCACAATATATTCTAAGTCATAGATGAAAATTTATTTTATTTTACCAAACCGCCATTTTCTTAGACACAAGTTTGCAGCAAAATAATGCTCTGTAACAAGGTTTAAAATTTCAATCATTTGATGGACCCAGACTACCTTCACATTTTGTAATAAAAAATTTAATAATTTTTTGACCGGTCAATCAATAGTGTGTTCACATGAGTATGCCCAGCTAGAACAGCTGTTAGTGATACATGTTTTTCAATAAATAGTTTCAAAAATATTGTAAATGACAAATATGTCGATGAACTGTGAAATTGATTTTCAATTTCAGATAAGAAATGGGGAAAGAAAAATGTTGAAAATGACAGTTTATTAGAAGTTCCCAAAGGATGGAAAGAACCTGGAATAACAAGAGAAGACAACAAACATGGCATGTTGGCAGAAAGTTCTTTTGCAACTTTATTTCCAAAGTACAGAGAAAAGTACTTAAGAGAATGTTGGCCTTTGGTTAAGAAAACTTTAGCAGACTATGTAAGTTTTAGATAAAATATCATATGTTCATGGATGCATAAATTCATGTTCATGTTCATAAATTCATGTTCATAAATTGAGGATAGATGTACATGAAACATCATGTTACCCTTATGGATGTTTTAGTACTATAACCAATTTTTCCCAAAAATTGTGCTGAATTATATTTTGTAGATGGATTCTCCTTTTAATATTGCAATACAAACATAAGTATAAATTGTTTAGTCACTCCAGTATCATGTAATGGCTATTTAAATCTTTCAGGAAATCAAGGCAGAGTTAGATGTAGTAGAAGGAAGTATGGCTGTATCAACCACCAGAAAAACTTGGGATCCATATTCTATTGTCAATGCTAGAGATCTGATCAAGTTATTGGCCAGGAGCGTTCCTTATGAACAGGTAGATTTTTTTAAAGAATATTTTTTTCTAGACTTCCCTTTCAAAGAGTTTCTGCTGGGATCCAGCTGTTATAACAGTGGTAGAATAAAACGTTAAAAAATACACGCTTCTTATTTAATGTTCTTTGATAATCAAAATTCTTTATTATCAATCAATTGTCAATATAAAAATAAGAAGATGTGGTATGATTGCCAATAAGACAACTCTCCACCAGAGACCAAATAACATAATAGTTTGTTTACATGAGAAGACGTAGCTTAAACATGGTAGTTTGTTTGCATGAGAAGACGTAGCTTCAAGCAATAGTGCATGTAAGTACAGCTGTTGGTAATAATATTCGTGTAGCCAGTCAATCTATAGTTGTTTACTTGAGTAGGTACAGCATGATAGTTGTCTGCATCCTCAAAAAGCTTTATCAAAGGAATACTTGCAGAACAGTTATAAGTCAAAATTTAACCAATGTTGTCTGCATGTAATAAACATGTTGTTTGAATCCTACATAGAATTAAGGATTTCTTTCTTTGGCTCATCCTATAGTAAAGATAATGAATATTTTGAAATTGTTTTTAAATCTTTTTTTCACGAAAACACTCAGTATGATAATAAGAATAATGTTCTTTGAAGACTTAGTGCATTCTCCTTAGGTTGTGCACTATGTCTTTAACCTTGAAACCTTTTTTCGCATTGTCAGTGCTAAAGACAACATTACTAATCTACACATCTGAATGTTTTTTTAGTTGCACATTGGTAAGTTAACAGTTCTGAATATTGAAATACGATAGCGAGAGTGGCATGGTGTCCTAGGGACGCATGTTCTTGTTTTATTTTAAATGATTGCATTTATTTTCAACATGCATCTTCTTTTGCCAATGGTAGGTAAATGTACTTTGACTGGATTTTTTTCAGTTTGAATTAATGTTTATGTGTAAAATTAGAGGGTACATTTTTAGCTCACCTGGCCCAAAGGGCCAAGTGAGCTTTTCTCATCACTTGGCGTCCGGCGTCTATGTCGTCCGTCGTCATTAGCTTTTTACAAAAATCTACTCATCTGAAACCACTGGGCCAAATTTAACCAAACTTGGCCACAATCATCATTAGGGTATCTAGTTTAAAAAATGTGTCTGATGACCCCGCCAACCAACCAAGATGGCCGCCATGGCTAAAAATAGAACATAGGGGTTAAATGTAGATTTTGGCTTATATCTCTGAAACCAAAGCATTTAGAGTAAATCTGACATTGGGTAAAACTGATTATCAGGTCAAGATCTATCTGCCCTGAAATTTTCAGACAAATCTGACAACCTGTTGTTGGGTTGCTGCCCCTGAATTGGTAATTTTAAGGAAATTTTGCAGTTTTTGGTTATTATCTTGAATATTATTATAGATAGAGATAAACTGTAAACAGCAATAATGTTCAGCAAAGTAAGATCTACAAATAAGTTGTCATGACCAAAATTGTCAGTCGACCCCTTTAGGAGTTATTGCCCTTAATAGTCAATTTTTAACAATTTTTTATACGACCGCAAAAAAAATTTTGTGGTCGTATATTGGTTTGACGTTGGCGTCATCGTCGTCGTCGTCTGGCATCGTCCGGCGTCGTCCGAAGACACATTGGTTTTCGCACTCTAACTTTAGTTTAAGTGAATGGATCTCTATGAAATTTTACCACAAGGTTCAATACCACAAAAGGAAGGTTGGGATTGATTTTGGGGGTTATGGTACCAACAGTAAAGGAATTAGGGGCCAAAAAAGGGGCCAAAAATAAGCATTTTTGTAACTTCCAGACATAACTTGTGTGTTAGTGTATGGATCTCTCTGACATTGTACCACAAGGTTCCATATCACAAAAGGAATGCTGGGATTGATTTTGGGGGTAATTGCCTCAAAATATTAGGAATTAGGGGCCCAAAAAGGGGCAAAAAAACAAGCATTTTTCTAGTTTCATGACAATAACTTGTGTGTAAGTGCATGGATCTTTCTGAAATTGTACTACAAGGTTCCATATCACAAAGGAAAAGCTGGAATTGAGTTTGGGGGTAATTGCTGAAACGTTTAGGAATTGGGGGCCAAAAAGGGGCCAAAAATAAGCATTTTTCTAGTTTCCAGACAATAACGTGTGTTCAAGGGTATGGATCTCTCTGAAATTGTACTGCAAGATACCATACCACAAAGGGAAGGCTGGGATTGATGATGGGGGTAATTGCCTCATTATTTTAGGAATTAGGGGCCAAAAAGGGGCAAAAAACAAGCATTTTTATAATAATAACTTGTGTGTAAGTGTATGGATCTTTCTGATATTGTACTACAAGGTTCCATATCACAAAGGGAAAGCTGGGTTTGAGTTTGGGGGTAATTGCCCTAATTGTTTAGGAATTTGGGGCCAAAAAGGGGCCAAAAAACACATTTTTCTAGTTTCCAGACAATAACTTGTGTTCAAGTGTATGGATCTCTCTGAAATTGTACTGCAAGGTACCATACCACAAAGGGAAGGCTGGGATTGAGTTTGGGGGTGATGAATCATAAGGGGGTTCAAAAAATTTGGGGGGGGGATTTTTTTTTTTTTTCCTTTTTTTTCTTTTTTTCCTTTTTTTTTTCTTTTAAAATTTTCCATTTTAAGTTGTTTATTTCTGATTTATATTTAAAAGCAAATAATAATGATATGGTAGGAGATACACACCAAACAGGATGTTTAAATTATTATATAAAAAGTATTGTGCAATAGCAAGAAATTTTCAATTGCACAGTATTGCACAATAGCAAGAAATCTTCAATTGCACAGTATTGCGCAATAGCAAGAAATCTTCAATTGCACAGTATTGCGCAATAGCAAGAAATATCCGATAGCACAATATTGCGCAATAGCAAGAAATTGTCAATTGTACAGTATTGCGCAATAGCAAGAAATATTTAATTGCACAGTATTGTGCAAAAGAAGATACTTCGTATAAATTGCTTATTTCTTGACCAATTTCAATGGGGTTTTATTCTTGAATTCTTGGGGTTCTTTAATATGCTGAATCTAACCATGTATTTAGTTTTTGGATTTTGGGCCACGTTTTTAAATTGGTCCACATTGAGGTCCAAAGGGTCCAAAATTAAACTTTGTTTGATTTCATCAAAAATTGAATTATTGGGGTTCTTTGATATGCCGAATCTAACCGTGTATTTAGATTCTTAATTTTTGGTTCCGTTTTCAAATTGGTCTACATTAAGGTCCAAAGGGTCCAAAATTAAACTTAGTTTGATTTTAACAGAAATTGAATTCTTAGGGTTCTTTGATATGCTGAATCTAAACATGTATTTAGATTTTTGATTATGGGCCCAGTTTTCAAGTTGGTCTAAATCAGGGTCCAAAATTAAACTTTGTTTGATTTCAACAAAAATTGAATATATGGGGTTCTTTGATATGCTGAATCTAACCATGTATGTAGATTTTTGATTTTTGGGCCCCGTTATCAACTTTGTCCACATTGAGGTCAAAAGGGTCCAAAATTAAACTTTGTTTGATTTCATCAAAAATTGAATTCTTGGGGTTCTTTGATATGCTGAATCTAACCATGTATTTAGATTTTGGATATTGGACCATAATAGGTGAATGTCCAATTTAAAATTTTTAAGTTCTTAGACCACATTCATTCTGTGTCAGAAACCTATGCTGTGTCAAATATTTAATCACAATCCAAATGCAAATCTGTATCAAGCTTGAATGTTGTGTCCATACTTGCCCAACTGTTCAGGGTGATCTCTGTGGTCGTATCAAGCTGCGCCCTGCGGAGCATTTTATTGTAAATTTTTGTAATCTTTTACAAAAATCTTCTTCTCTGAAACTACTGAGACAAATTTAACCATACTTGGCCATAATCATTATTAGGGTATCTAGTTTAAAAAATTTGTCCAATGACCCCGCCTTCCAACCATCATGGCCGACTTGGTTAAAAATAGAACATAGGGGTAAGATGTAGATTTTGGCTTATATCTCTGAAACCAAAGCATTTAGAGCAAATCTGACATTGGGTAAAACTGATTATCAGGTCAAGATCTATCTGCCCTGAAATTTTCAGACAAATTTTACAACCTGTTGTTGGGTTGCTGCCCCTGAATTGGTAATTTTAAGGAAATTTTGCAGTTTTTGGTTATTATCTTGAATATTATTATAGATAGAGATAAACTGTAAACAGCATTAATGTTCAGCAAAGTAAGATCTACAAATAAGTTGTCATGACCAAAATTGTCAGTCGACCCCTTTAGGAGTTATTGCCCTTAATAGTCAATTTTTAACAATTTTTCGTAAATTTTTGTAATCTTTTACAAAAAAATCTTCTTCTCTGAAACTACTGAGACAAATTTAACCATACTTGGCCATAATCATTATTAGGGTATCTAGTTTAAAAAAAATTTCCGATGACCCCGCCTTCCAACCATCATGGCCGACTTGGTTAAAAATAGAACATAGGGGTAAAATGCAGTTTTTGGTTTATATCTCTGAAACTAAAGCATTTAGAGCAAATCTGACATTGGGCAAAAATGTTCATCAGATTTAGATTTATCTGCTCTGAAATTTTCAGACAAATTTGACAACCCGTTGTTGGGTTGCTGCCCCTGAGTTAGTAATTTTACAAATATTTTGCAGTTTTTGAACCGGATTTTTGTGTCAAAAATGTCGGTTATTGATTTGGGGATGTACGGCGGGCGGTTGGTCGGTCGGTCGGTCGGACGGGCGGGCGGCAACCAAATGTTGTCCATGCATTTACTCATGAACCATTCAACCAAACCTTTTAAAATTTTAATATGTTGTTACTGACAACAAAATGGAGGTCAAGTTTAATAATGACGATTTTGACTTTTACCGTTCAGGAGTTACGGTTCTTGAAAGTTTAAAAAATGTCGTGTCCGTGCATTTACTCATGAACCGTTCAACCAAACCTTTTTAAATTTTAATATGTTGTTACTGACAACAAAATGGAGGTCAAGTTCAATAATGACGATTTTGACTTTTACCGTTCAGGAGTAACGGTTCTTGAAAGTTTAAAAAATGTCGTGTCCGTGCATTTACTCATGAACTGTTCAACCAAACCTTTTTAAATTTTAATATGTTGTTACTGACAACAAAATGGAGGTCAAGTTCAATAATGACGATTTTGACTTTTACCGTTCAGGAGTAACGGTTCTTGAAAGTTTAAAAAATGTCGTGTCCGTGCATTTACTCATGAACTGTTCAACCAAACCTTTTTAAATTTTAATATGTTGTTACTGACAACAAAATGGAGTTCAAGTTCAATAATGACGATTTTGACTTTTATCGTTCAGGAGTTACGGTTCTTGAAAGTTTAAAAAATGTTGTGTCCGTGCATTTACTCATGAACTGTTCAACCAAACCTTTTTAAATTTTAATATGTTGTTACTGACAACAAAATGGAGGTCAAGTTCAATAATCACGATTTTGACTTGTTCTGCTTTTCTTTGGTAAATTGTTAGAAGAATTTTGTGACAAGTTTGTTTGTTATTTGTAAAAACTAATTTTCTGAATGCTATATATTTCTTTTTTGATGAAATGAACTTCTTTAAAAAGTAAGCTTATATTGTCCATCAATAAACATATATTTAGATTTCTGATTTTGGGCCCACTTTTCAAATTGGTCCAAATAGGGGTCCATACTTGCTCATCTTTTCAGGATTCGACCTCTGCAGGAAAATCCGGTTTGCTGTCACTCGACAGCCTCTTGTTGTTATTATCTAAGATATCATTATAATATCTAATATCTAATACTATTAATTATGATTTTAACCTTATTTTACATGATTTCCATAGCATCAGTTAATACAGGTGAGCGACACAGGCTCTTGAGAGCCTCTAGTTCTAATATAGCATTTTCCAGAATATTCCATGCAAACATTATTTGCTGTAGAGAAGTTATGAAAAAAACAACAGCTTGCATTAAAAGTATACAGACTGTACTAGTCATTAATTTATGAAATTATGAATGACAATTAGTTAATTTGATAGCATTAGATAGAAACCCTGTGTGAGTGTGTGTCAATTTGTTTTAATTTCTTTACAGGCAATTAGGATTCTGGAGAATGATATAGCATGTGACATCATAAAGATAGCATCACTTTGTAGAAATAAAGAAAGATTCGTAAAGAGAAGACAGAGAGTCATAGGTCCAAATGGATCTACACTGAAGGTGATTAATTTAAACATATGATAAAGTTCTTCTGTTGCACATTATGCCGGTTAAGGACTATTTCAAGATGTCTAAATTTTTAAGCAGCAGCTTGAACTTGTGTGGTAGTAAGCCAGCATCAATCATTTCCCTCAAAAACAAAAAAAAAATCACAAGCTAAAAAAAAACATTTTTGAAAGTTATAAGATCTATAGATTCTACCAGATTAATTATGATATTATATATAAATTTGAGATACGGTTTATGGACAGAAATATGGACAGAAATATTTGTCACTTACAATATTTGACTACAAAATTTATGAATAACATGTATTTCATTTTTACATCTTATTTTCTTTTATTTCTACTCAATTCTGATTAATTTATAAGATTCTATGTAACTTCTGCTAATCATATTTTATCGAAACAGGCGATAGAGCTCCTAACAGAATGTTATGTTCTCGTGCAAGGTAACACTGTGTCTGCTTTGGGACCACATAAAGGATTACGAGATGTAAGTTAAGAGATATAACACTTTGATAAACTTAAAAGATTTTAATGTTAAATTGCATCAGTATAGAACTATTGTAAATCAGTCTCATTACATGTTTCCTCAATGGGGAGATGTTAAAAGAAAGTTAAAAGATGAGGGAAAAAATGTATTAAATTAAACATATTTAACTAACACTTTGAAGATGAAACTAGATTTTTTAAAGTAGGGAACTTTCCCCCAAAGTGTAGCCTTTTTAACTCATTGACAAAGAGATCAGCAAAAATCCTAGTAATTGGCAAAGGATTTGTTCTGAGTCTGTGAATAATATAAAATCCTTGCTTAAAACAAAAAATGATGTGCTTAAATAATGGGCTTATCAAACATTTTTTTCCCAAATATTTATTAAAGTCACTCCTTACAACTTAAACAATAATTCAAATATGTATAAGTTAGCTTATAAACGTTCATAGTTGTCTAATTGCCAAATTTTTATTTTTCAGGTCAGAAAAATCATTGAAGACACTATGAAAAATATCCATCCTATTTATAATATTAAGGTAACAGTTGGTTTTAGGGTGCTAAACAGTTCAGTAATGTGTAACACTTTGTTTGTATGTTGATGTTTAATGCAACTTTCAGTGCCCTTGGCTATATCAGTGGTTTGGTTTTGACAGGTTTTACTATGATTTATGCTGAAAGTTGTAACACCCCTAATTTTTAGGTTTTTTTCATGAATGGCAGGTAAAACACTATCATTGTTCATGAACATTAATTAAAGGGGCACTAGCTGTCAAATTCATGTTCACCGATTAGATTCAAATTCTCATATTTCATTTATAACAATGTAAAACATTTATCCATATTATAAATAAAGAGCTGCTGAACCAACGCCTCCTATGTTTTGTGGTGGTAGAGTTCCCTTAAGTGGATACCAGATGGTATGCAGGGTTGTCAGATAAAAAAATCAAAAACCGCTACATTGACAACAACACTTAAGTGTTATTGTCAATGCAGCGGTATTTATCCATATTATAAAAAGTCTAAAATAAACAATTTACAGGGTATGAGCTCGAGAATATTTAACTTCTTTTCGTGTATATTTTAGTCTAGACGCCATCTAATTAACTATCGAGTTGACCTCGGAGACCTCCGATGGTCATATAAGCGATATAAACATAAATATAGATATAAATAGAAACGAACTCGTGCATTTGGATTTTTTTCTAGGTCTGTTTAATTTCATATTATAGAATAAAAATATATGTTAACCATCGTTTTTACCTGTATAAGAATGATATATTGTGGATCGAATCAGTCAATCAAATGATTTACCTTTGTTTCACTTTCAATGTTTCTAAGCTTATTTTGACAAATTTGAACCATACTGGCCACTAAAAGCGAATTATTATTTCACTATTTCACTTTCATTAATGATTGAACAAAACAAATCATATTTTAGATTTTTTATATGTCTCGTAGCTAGTGCCCCTTTAAAGTACATAAAAATGAGAGTCATTTATTGAAACAAGAGACTCCTACATTTTATGAAGGTGTACTAGATATGATTTCATGTTTATTTTCCTTAAATAACAAAACCAGTATGCATTCTACAGTTAAAAATATGCCATGTAGATAAAGTACTTGACAACGTGTTACCATTGTTATTTCAAAATCTATGTTCCATTTGTAACTTTATTTATATAAATGTAAAATTACATCTACGATACATTTGTAATATTGTAATATAAAATTTACGGTTTTTGTCAAGCCTGCGACTTCTGTCGCAGAAAGCTCGACATAGGGATAGTGATGTGGGGGCGGCATTAACTAATTACTTTAAAGCTTCATATTTTAGAAGGTGGCAGACCTGGATGCTTCATACTTTGTATAAAGATGCCTTATGTTATGAAGTTTCCGTTTGTCATATGTCCGTTGTCCTTGACCTCATTTTCATGGTTCAGTGACTACTTTAAAAAAAAATTAAGATTTTTTGTAATGTTAATTTCTCTCTTATTATGAGTAATAGGATAAGTGTATTTAGTAGGAACGTAGGTCCTTGCAAGGTCCTCATGCCTGTCAGACAGTTTTCATCTGACCTCGGCCTCATTTCATGGATCAGTGGTTGAAGTTAAGTTTTTGTGTTTTGGTCTTTAGGAAGGCCGTATGGTGACCTGTAGTTGTTCATTTCTGTGTCATTTGATCTCTTGTGGAGAGTTGTCTCATTTGCAATCATACCACTTCTTCTTATTTTTAAGGTTAAGTTTTTGTGGTCAAGTCCATATATCAGATACTATAAGCAATAGGTCTACTTTATTTGGTGTATTGAATGATTGTAAGGTGTACATGTCCATGACCTTGACCTCATTTTCATGGTTCAGCGGTTAAAGTTAAGTTTTTGTGTTTTGGTCTTTTTTTCTAATACTATATGCAATAGGTCAACTATATTTGGTGTATGGAAATATTTTACAATGTACATGTCAGTCTAGTAGGTTTTATTTGACCTTGACCTCGTTTTCACGGTTCATTGCTCAGTGTTAAGTACTTGTGTTTTGGTCTGTTTTTCTTAAACTATAAGCAATAGGTCAACTATATTTGGTGAATGGAATGATTGTAAGGTGTATATGTCTGTCTGGCAGGTATCATCTGACCTTGACCTCATTTTCATGGTTCATTGGTCAATGTTAATTTTTCTTGGTTAAGTTTGTTTCTTAGAAACTATAAGCAATAAGTCAACTATATTTGGTGTATGGAATGATTGTAAGGTGTACATGTATTTCCGGTTTGTTTAAATCTGACCAACATTTTTTTGGATCATGTTAAGTTTATTTGATACTTGTTATAAAGCTTTATATTTAGGACTATCAACATGAAATCAATGGTTAGTAAAGTAGGCGAGACATTTCACCGTGTGCCTGTGTTAGTTAATCAGAATCTATAAGCAGGAGGTTAACCATATTTGGTGTATGAAATGATTGTACGGTGTACATGTATGTCTGGCAGGGTTCATCTGACCTTGACCTTTGTTTTCATGGATCATTGGTCAATGTTAAGTTTTTATGGTTTTGCTAGTTAATCAGATAGCTATAAGCAGTTGGTCAACTGTATTTAATGTATGAAATGATAGTAAGGTGTACATGTCTTACTGGCAGGGTTAATCTGACCTTGACCTCATTTTCATGGTTCATTAGTTTATGTTAATTTTTCATGGTTTTGTCAGTTTATCAGGTACACAAAGCAGTAGGTCAACTTTGTTTTGGTGAATGGAATGATTGTAAGGTGAACATGTCAGTCTGGCAGGGTTCATTTGACCTTTATTGAGTTTATATGATTAAAAAAAAAGCAGGCGAGACATTTCAGTGTGTGCACTCCTGTTGATAAAAGGCAGAGACTTTAAACCTTATATAGACAGACAGCCTATCTGGTGAATGTCAACATGACAGAAAACCAATAGACATTTTGAGATGAACATTCAGTCTACATCAAATGACTACCTCTAAATTGGCCTGAATATAAAAAAGTAGGGAATCAATTTAACAGAGACTAAATACTCAGCAATGTAAATGATGTTTTAAAATTTTTTATTTTTTGTGAATAAACCAGTTTTTTGTTAAAAATAAAATAATAAATGGGCATTCTTTTTGTTAATGTCTACAATTTGCTTAAAAACAATGTGGCAGATGAAACGCAATTTATGTAGAACTAAAACCAGACCTTGCAGCCATAAAAATTTAGAGTATGATTATCGTATTCAGACTCAGAATTCATCCAATCAAAATACTGCATTTAGTGTTTTGAGTACAAATATTGTAATCCGAGTACTGAGTACAGTTTTATGACGATAGGCCCTGAACTAAGTATTATTGTTTGAGTTGTAAAAGTGATCTGCTGATCTGAAGGAAGATTTTTATGCCCCACCTACGATAGTAGAGGGGCATTGTGTTTTTCGGTCTGTGCGTCCGTTTGTTCGTCTGTTCGTTCATCCGTCCGTCCGTTCGTCGGTCTGTCCCGCTCTAGGTTAAAGTTTTTGGGCAAGGTAGTTTTTCATGAAATTGAAGTCCAATCAACTTGAAACTTAGTACATATGTTCCCTATGATATGATCTTTCTAATTTTAATGCCAAATTAGAGTTTTCACCCCAATTTTACGGTCCACTGAACATAGAAAATGATAGTGCTAGTGGGCATCCGTGTACTATGGACACATTCTTGTTTTACCATATTAAGCATAACTATACTGGCATTATAATTGTAGACATTGATGATTAGAAGAGAATTAGCAAAAGATCCTCAACTACAAAATGAAAGCTGGGATAGATTTTTGCCAAAATTTAAGTCTAAAAATATCAGTAAGAGGAAACAACCTAAGAAGAAGAGAATAAAGAAAACATATACACCTTTCCCACCTCCACAGCCAGAGAGTAAGGTAGGTTTTTTGTTAATATTTAAATGTCTGGTACATGTGTAGGGTTAGGGATTATTTTATACTTTGGTAGTGGTTGCTGTGTGTCAGCTCTGTGGAATTCATTAAGCTGTGAGGCGATGTAAAGTTGCTATTGTAAGCACTAGATAAATTATGACATAATAGAAAAACAAAGGATATGGGGTATACATCCATGACACAAAATCAATACATGCACACATAAGCATCGTTAACCAATGGACTAGAACTGAAAGATGAAAGTTTCAGTGATATTGTGGGGGGTCTGTTTGCCTTATTGACGATGATGAATATTTATTATTTCTTCTGCTTTTAGGTTGATAAAGAACTTGCTTCAGGGGAATATTTCCTGAAACCCAGTACAAAAAAGGCAAAGAAGCAAGCAGAGAAAAAGGTAATAAATTAATTATATGATTATACCCAATGTTAAAATAAAAATAGACAAAAATATTTGTAAAAGTTTCTGGAAAAAAATATTTTTCCATACTTCAGATTTCTATTCTACAATTGTCCAATTAATCAAGTTTAAGTTTTGTTTTTAAAAATCATTTTTGTCTATGATTTGTTTTAAAGATTAGTGATAAAGGAATTAAAGAGGATTTGTGTATTGAAAAAAACATAAAATGAAAAATATTTTAGCTGTAAATGTAAAGTAATTTATTTTATAACTCACAACAAACAATGCTACATTTCCATGAATTTATAGAAAATGCCTTGTTACACAATGAAAGTTGAAATAAAAATTTTAAAAAAGAAGTTTAATTGGTAACACTTTACAGGTATGCTAAAATAATACTGACTATAATGTTCAAATTATAGCCAGTCTGCTATTCCAAGAATAGTTATTTATGTTGTAGACCAGAAATACTACTTCTTGATGGCTTCATCTCCTAATTTTAAAGGATTGTTATATATTGAGATAACAATTGAAATGTTTCCTATATCATGCCCAATAGAATAGATGATTTTGAATACTATTTTGAACACTTACATTGAACAAAAAAATAACCAGTTAATAATTTTAATGATTATGTATACATTTTGTGGAATTTTATCAGGAAAAACAGAAAGAAGCAATTGAAAAGAAACAAGACAAGAGGGCACAAGCATTTGTTCCTCCACAGGAGACAGGAGAATCCGCAGCAAAGAAATTAAAGAAATCAGGTTAGTTGTATTTAATGCCCACTCACTTTTAAATAAAAGATTTATAGATTATCAATGATTCTTCAAACAAAAGGGAGCTTCTCGCATTCAATCTCATCAAAGGGCGACATGTAGCTGAGAAATAGAGTTTGAGAAATACCTTAAATAATCTGTTTATCGCTATTTTCCTAGTTAACATCAATAACATAGGCTTATGACGTCATACATTCTCTTTCTACTCGACTGAGAAAATCCAATATCACTGGAGTAGCGTGATATGGAAAATGATCACAAAAAAAAAAATCAAGGGAAAATTTGATAAAATAGTGATAAATTATTTTATTTTGTGAATTTGATTAAGGGAGTAATATAACCAGGATGAAATTAATCCATACTTGTTTCTAAATATTTAAAAGTCTTTGGTTAGCTACATCATCCAAACCCTTAGATGGTCCTTGGATACTGAAAAGTCTTATCTAAGCTACATCTTCTAAATGATTAGTCAGTTTTAATTATTGTTTCAATATATTGCTCCTTAGTAACTTGAAAAATAATGACTCCTTTACAACTTCACATTTTAAAAGTATGCATTCTTGAAAAAATAATTTCTATATTACCCAGTAATTCAATTCAATTTATTACCATCCAACATAATGCAAAAATTCAGTATGTAATAGAGTGCTACTTTGTATTGGTAAATTTATATTTCAAGATGGATGACATATAAAAGTTGTAATGTACTTATAAATATCTTTGTTAATTCGAGTAACATATTTGATAATTGCTTCATTTTAGATGATACAGTTAATGTTGAAGAGTTGAAAAAGAAAATCAGGAAAGCTCAGGTAATTGTTTGTCAGTTTAAAACACCAATTTCGAGTTCTTTTTTAAGACTAAGTTACCCTGGTTGAGACTAGGTCAATTTGCCTGAATGATGTCATTCAACAATTGACTCCTACTGTGAGGTAATAACATGAGCATTGTGACATCAAAAATGTAAGGGAAAATGCTTGATTGTGAAAGTCATCTATACCAGATCAAATTCACTTGTTTTAAATATTCCAAAAAGAATGTCACTCAATACAGTAGAAGTTTTTATATGAAAGTACAATATAGAATGAATTGTGTAATCTTCCTTAATAGAATTTGACTGCTATATCATTATGCAATATTGCATCTTTTATTGAGCCAGACAAAATAAATATTTAGCATATCAAGTGTTTTTTAATATCAACTTGAAAAAAGGAAAAAAAAGTACTTTGGCTTCACTTATCCATTGTAGGTTATGTGTAATCCATTGTCCGATAACTTTTTTTATTTGGTCAAATTCTCTGAACTGACATGACCCATTTGAAATTAATTTTGCAGAAATAAGTTGCACACAAAAATGTTTGGTTTGGTTTCAATGGAAAGAAAAAACGGGCCACATGGAGCAATTATGGAATCTAAAATGTTGATATTCATATTTCACTTATAGGGTCTTTGCATCGGCACTAAACACATTTATTTAAAAACCAGTTGTTGGCATGACACGGGTTATGTTCTTCTCATATATGTTATGATGGTATGATACTAAACCCCTAACGGGAAGGATTGTGCCTGATATTCATATGATGAAGACATAATCTTTCAATCAGTTTAATTGAAGTCTGGAGCTGGCATGTCAGTTAACTGCTAGTAGTCTGTTGTTATTTATGTATTATTGTCATTTTGTTTATTTTCTTTGGTTACATCTTCTGACATCAGACTCGGACTTCTCTTGAACTGAATTTTAATGTGCGTATTGTTATGCGTTTACTTTTCTACATTGGCTAGAGGTATAGGGGGAGGGTTGAGATCTCATAAACATGTTTAACCCCGCCGCATTTTTGCGCCTGTCCCAAGTCAGGAGCCTCTAGCCTTTGTTAGTCTTGTATTATTTTTAATTTTAGTTTCTTGTGTACAATTTGGAGTTTAGTATGGCGTTCATTATCACTGAACTAGTATATATATTTGTTTAGGGGCCAGCTGAAGGACGCCTCCGGGTGCGGGAATTTCTTGCTGCATTGAAGACCTGTTGGTGGCCTTCTGCTATTGTCTGTTCTGTGGTCGGGTTGTTGTCTCTTTGACACATTCCCCATTTCCATTCTCAATTTTATTCAACTCTTCAAACACTACATAGTCTAATCTGTATACCTTTAAATGAATGATCATTAGGAGACCTTTACAATTATTCTTGATTTTGTACTGAATGTTGGCTCCATAAGTCACCTTTAAACCCTATGGGAAATTACATTTTTGTTTTTACTTTGACCATGTGTATAGCCTAACCTGACAGAAAAGGTTTTTGATAAAAGATTTTTTTTTTGTCCTGATCTGATGAAAAAAGATGGAAAGCAAAGGCAAATATTGCATACAGCTTCACTGAAAACTGAATTGAAAATCCAAAAATAATTCATTTATCTCCTTTATTTTTAAGTCTCCCAAACGAAGTTTGGGAAGACTTATTGTTTTTGCTCAGTTCTTATTATTATTATTATTCTTCTTCTTCTTCCGCCGCTTTTAAATTTGAACTTGTCCGCACCCGTTCTCCAAAACCGCTTGTCAGATTAACTTAGGGTTTCACAATATGTTAGACTAACATGTCTAGTGGTGCAATCAGGGTTTTGTTTGTGCAATGGGGTTTATAAAGGGGTACTTTGAGGGGCAAAAAGAAAAGAGGGTTTTACTATAGAACCCTATGGGATTTTATTTTTTAAAATTTTCAAATGATTATAAATTGAAAACCATTTGTGATAGACACAATCTTTTTAATTGAAAATGTTCTAAAGGATAAAGCCCATTAAATGAAATACAGGGTTAGTCCCCAGGGGTCACCCCCACCCCCTGCCATTTAAGAAAGTTCTCATACCTTGTAAGTGGTCAAGATCCCCACCCCTAAACCATATATATTTTGGTTTGTCATGCTAAGATGGTTTGAATGATATACAGGGTTAGTCCCCAGGGGTCATCCCGACCCCCTGCCATTTGAGAAAGTTCTAATATCTTGTAAATAGTCGAGATCCCCACCCCTAAACCATATATATTCTGGTTTGTCATGATAAAGCACATCAAATGAAATACAGGGTTAGTCCCCAGGGGTCACCCCCACCCCATGCCATTTAAGAAAGTTCTAATATCTTCTAAGTGGTCAAGATCCCCACCCCTAAACCATATATATTCTGGTTTGTCATGCTAAGATGGTTTGAATGATATACAGGGTTAGTCCCCAGGGGTCATCCCGACCCCCTGCCATTTGAGAAAGTTCTAATATCTTGTAAATGGTCGAGATCCCCACCCCTAAACCATATATATTCTGGTTTGTCATGATAAAGCACATCAAATGAAATACAGGGTTAGTCCCCAGGGGTCACCCCCACCCCCTGCCATTTAAGAAAGTTCTAATATCTTGTAAGTGGTCAAGATCCCCACTCCTAAACCATATATATTCTGGTTTGTTATGCTAAGATGGTTTGAATGATATACAGGGTTAGTCCCCAGGGGTCATCCCGACCCCCTGCCATTTGAGAAAGTTCTAATATCTTGTAAATGGTCTAGATCCCCACCCCTAAACCATATATATTCTGGTTTGTTATGCTAAGATGGTTTGAATGATATACAGTGTTAGTCCCCAGGGGTCATCCTGACCCCCTGCCATTTGAGAAAGTTCTAATATCTTGTAAATGGTCGAGATCCCCACCCCTAAACCATATATATTCCTATTTGTCATGTGTCGAACATTTGAATGACGTATACGGTCAGTCCCCAGGGGTTCCCCCCACCCCCAATGTTCTTATATCTTGTAAATGGTTGAAATCCCCACCCCTAAACCATATATATTCCTGTTCGTCATGTAACGAACATTTGAATGATGTATAGGGTCAGTCCCCAGGGGTTCCCCCACCCCTCATTGTTCTAGTATCTTGTAAATGGTCGAGATCCCCACCCCTAAACCATATATATTCTGGTTTGTCATGCCAAGATGATTTGATTGATATACAAGGTTAGTCCCCAGGCATCACTAATGCATATTACTTTACTGGATCAAACCAATTTTCACTGGACATTGCCCAATGTCAGGCGACCCTGGGAATTACGAATTATGGGAGCTTCGTTTGGGAGACTTCGTAACAGCATCCTGTTACAATCATTTCTTGTTTGAAATATTATTGAATAAATTCTATCAAAATAGATGTATTTTTGTATAGGAAGACATGGAGAATGTTTGGTCCTATACCTTCATTGATGGTTCACTTACTTTGAATATTTTGCATAGCTTACATGTTAAAGTATTGCTATTTTAATTTCAACATTTGCATTTTACTATCAAAATAACAAAAAGGCAAGACATATCTCTGTGTCAACAGTTTATTGATACATTAACTAATCTGTTAACTAGTTGGTATTGAAAACCATTACACAATCAACATTTTATGGCTTACAGCATGTTGACATTACACTAATTTCATAGTTTAGTGTTACTTTTTCACCTTGAACACCACTTTGACTGATGCATACAGTTATGCCATAGAAAAAATGAAATTTAAACTCCACATGAAAATAAAGTATTTTACAGTAGACAACCCAAAAGAAGAGAATAAAAGAAATGTCATACATGTGGATGTTGTATTTTTCAGAAAAAGAAGATTGGTCAGTCATCTGGATCATGACAAAATGACAAATAAACTGAATTTCAACGAAAATACTGTTGAACAGAAATAACCAGGGCACATCTCAAGGTTTTCAAGATATGATGCATGAGTTATATTGGCAAGACAACAATATTAGAAAAATGAATTTTATTTTGAACTGTTTGATAGTTTTCAATATGACAAAGATTTGTGTATTATAGAACATTACAAATTCTCAATTGATGTCATAGGATAAGTTTTTGTGAAAATTTTACACACATATACTCTTACAGCAGGCATTTGTAGATATCATTGCTTTTATAATATAATTGAAGAATTCAAGAAATCTAAGCCTCAGAAATGTTATTCTCTGAATAACTATGGGTTAAATATGCATTTTTATAACAGTGTAGCCTAAACTAATTCAGCTGAACTTAACATGTTTATAGAGTTTGTTAAGCTGATGTTTATTTTTTTAGTGGGGATTTAGGAAATTGCTGATTGACCTTTTCTATCTGGCTCCACTCACTTGATAATTTTCTAAGCTTCTTGTAATTACCTTGTGTTATGGTCGGATGGATTACTTTATTAAACTAAGCAGGCTTTTTATGAGAACATGTATCATTGAAGTATTGATTTCACTAACAGTTTCATGATCTGTAAGAAAAGACTATTTTTCAGTGTTCAAATTGAAATAAGTCTTGTTTATATATATGTAAATAAAAGTTCATCATTTATTGCATGGGTTCATTGTCAATTGAATATTTTTGTTGTGTCTTGTCTGTGACAAATGTAACAGGAGGTTAAACATGTAAATACCCATAGAACATCATCAAAGGTCTCACTTGTGTGACTGAATGTTTTGACAATACAACATATAGAGTAGAAGTTTTGTTTTCATTTTGGGTTTTTTTTCCTTATTCTTTTGTGACCATATTTGGTACCTGTTTGTCAAGGTTTTTGTCATCCTGAACATGCATGAAATATAAGCCACTGGACATTAAGCGAACAACAATCAATCAATAAATCTTGGTTTATTTATTGATTTCAACTCAGTGAGTTAATAATGATTGATAGTAAACATTAGTTTAAAGTTTTTAAGTCTGTAGGTTAAACATTTCTGATCCAATATGTTTCTAAGGTAAATTATATTAATGTCTATGCTCTTTTGATAATTAATATTGATGCATAACATGGATATTGTCTCAGTCTGTTCAGTAAATGTTATGGACTTGAAAGGGAGGCAAGAGATACCAAGGGATATTTAAACTTGAAAGTAGACCATGCCATGGCAAAAAAACAAAAAAAACAACCACAATTTACCAAAAAAAAAGCATAGAAAACTAAAGACTGACAACACAAACCACAGGGAAAAACCAGGGTAAAACTTGTTTTACTGTTTCTTTACCAATGATATTTTAAGATGCTGATCGCAAATTCAATTCACCACCTCTCAAAATTTTGATCTACCATTGTTCCAGTCTGATTCCTTAGCTTGTAAGGTCTGTTTGTTTGGAGGTACTGCTGCATAGACGGTAACATTCTACAAATGTTGAGCTTTCTGATTACAGATTTTTGATATTTGTAAGATGTACCATTTTCATCCATCAATGCATACCTTTCACATAATAATTTTTTTAGCTGCAAAGCAGAGGAGGCTTTAGTTTTGTTTACAGTTTGGGTTTTTTCACTACATCACAAAGAAACTGTCAGCTTATTCCATTGTTTTGTCAGTGGGAGTATTGGGAACATGAATAAGAAAAATGTCTATTTATTATGGACACCATTGCTCATTAATGATATCAGTCATAGATGTTTTCTTCAATGAAGTCAACATTGGGAACAGCCATGACACACCTTAATGATCATGCTTGTAACTGCAAGGGCCAAAGAAGTATGCAACCAGTTACACCAATAAAAATGTACATAGTACATGGATGCCCCACTCTCACTATCATTTTCTATGTTCAATGGACCGTGAAATTAGGGTCAAAACTCTTAATTTGGCATTAAAATTAGAAAGATCATATCATAGGGAACATGTGTACTAAGTTTCAAGTTGATTGGACTTCAACTTCACAAAAAACTACCTTGGCCAAAAACTTTAACCTGAAGTGGGACAGACGGACGGACGGACCAACGAACGGACGCACAGACCGAAAAAAATAATGCCCTTAGGTACATGAGATAAGTGGTTTCAAACACATACTCTGATGCAGCTAGCAGTGGGAATGACCAAGACGTGCTATATCAAATGTTGACTACTATTCAAAATCTGCAATCTGAAACTTGTGTATGTATTGATCAGGTATCAGAATCAATAAGATATGTGATACGTATATACCTATAAATACAAAGGTTTGACATCAGATATAGTACAAAACAATTTGAGAGATATTGTTTATGTCTGTTATATGTGTAATGATGGCAGGTGGTATAAAGATATGAATTTTATAGAAACTATTAAGAGGAAAATGATGATGATAATACAATGTCTAAAATTGTAGCTGTAGCAAATTTCAATAAAAAATACAACAAGCAAAACTATAGCATCTGAAAATTCGAACTCTGCCAAACACAACTAAATTATAACATCTAAAAATTCTGACTAGGACAAACACAAATTAATCATGTCACGCTTCATTAAAGTATAGTTCTAACTAAATGGCAAGAAACAGTAAAAACAAGACCATACGAAATCCTCGAAAACGATATTAAACAACTAAAAGCCGTTCTCATATCTGTTAAATGAAGCATGAAGAAACATCAATTCATTGAAAGTAACATCTGATTCCAGTGAGGGCAACCAATTAAATGAGTATAATGTAGATTCTCTAAAACAAGAGTATTGTGATGGAAACCATGACACAGGGTCCTGCTCGAGTAGACAAATATATTGTGCTGGGTTATTCAATTAAAGAATACCTTATGCCTACGACAGACGTTTTCTGATGCACCCCTAATGTATCCTTTAAGTGCAAGGGGTTTTGAAACTAGAGAGCTGAAACAATTTTAGTACATATTCACAGAAAGTGCTTAATTGAACTAAGTTTTTTACCACGACTTTCAATGTATGGTTTTCTAACTTGTACCTCAAAAATCTTTTAGTAGTGGTGAATAATCATACCAAGTTTCATTACTATAAGGAACAAGTCAACTATTTTAAGAGTATGGAATGATAGTAAGGTGTACAGGTCAGACAGGTAGGTTTCATCTGACCTTACCTCATTTCCATTGTTCATTCGTCAATGTTTAGTTTTCTTCTTTAAGTCTGTTTCTCGGATACTATAGGCAATAGGCCAACTAAATTTAGAGGAAAGATTTTTATGGGTACATCTGTTTGGCAGGGTTCACCTTACATTGACTTTATTTTCATGGTTCATTGGTCAATGTTAAGTTTTGAGGTGTCTCAAGTACTATAATCAAATGGTCAATTATATTTAGTGTATAGAATGATTGCGAGGTGTACGTGTCTGTCTGGAAAATTTATTTTCATGGTTTATTGGTCAATATTAATTTTTCGGGGATAGGTCTACCTCGTATACTCTTTGCAGTAGATTAACTATATTTGTTATATGAGATGATTGTCCTGTGTACTTCCTCGTCTTACAAGGTTCCTCTTACTTTGACCATTTTCATGGTACATTGTTCATTGTTAGTTTTCGTGGTGGTAGTGTGATCTGTTTCTATAAGCTAAAGGTTAACTTTTTTTGGTGTATGGAATGATTGCAGGTGTAGATGCCCATCTGGCAGGGTTCAGTTGACCTTGGCATCACACATAAGGATCACTGATAAAGTTAAGATTATGTGATACTTAAAGTACTTTATTTTAAAGACTAAACATTCAAATCAATCCGGATCAGTAATGCAAGCGAGAAATCTAAGCGTGTGCAAACTTGCTGTACACATGCATAGGGTTAGTTCAGTTTATTAACTTTTTATTTGACCATGACTTTCACTGTAAGGGGTTTCGTAATTGCACACGACACACCTTCTAGACGTAGTGAATAATCATGTAAAGTTTCATTACCCAACTCCAAACGGTTTGAAAATAACACGATTTGTGACTAACGGACGCACGGCCTACTGACTACTGCCTTCCAAACACTGGTGGTCAGAATTTGAAGCATGGTCTATTAGAAAACAGAAAAAGAATACTGAAATCACAGGTGATCTAAATCGTGTGTATCAGCACAGCCATTAATACCAAGATAGCGCTGTAAACTATATAAGAATCTCAGTTACCTTTCCATGGACCATATGGACACATAAATCAAGTTTATCCACATATATATGTTAAATTTTGGACCATATATACCTGCACAGCATGCATCTTATGGATCTATGCCAACTTCACTTTACCCTATTTCATCTTGACATCCATTTGGTTTTCCTTTGTGACATCCTCAATTCGGATTGACATCACTATATCCTCATATGATGCCACCAACGCATATAACTCCAGGTTTCATTACAATGCATCCATGGCCGCAAACAACCATTGCTTGTATGCCTCCGTTATTCTCTTAACAATGATTCTCAAGCTGTACAAAATTACCTACAACTAGGATATATATCTTAAAAGCTTTTAATTGATACAGAAAGAACTAGCATCGGTCAAAATCAGGATGTAAACCAACTGAAACAAATTTGACATGCAACACATTCGAATATAAAAAAGGTATTCTTACTTATCTGATGTCTATTCCAAAATACTATTAATTCGGAGAGGTTGATAATGGGAACGGCAAACGATACAATTGCAGTGCCTATATAATCCAACACTGGGACAATCCTGATCAAGCTCAAAAAAGAGGGACGAAAGATACCAGAACTGGGGGTGATCTCAGGTGCTCCGGAAGGGTAAGCAGATCCTGCTCCACATGTGGCACCCGTCGTGTTGCTTATGTTATTACAAATCCGGTAAATAGTCTAATTCGGTAAGTCACATTCGTGAAAAGGGAAGGGTATTGTAGTTACGACATAAGGAACATATCCGATATCATCTGTGAAACGGTTATTCCATAGCGGTCAACCAACTCGTGATGGCGTCCGTAAAATTTACGAAGGGATGACTTCAACTTCACCATTTGGAACTATTGGCTTAATAGCTTCCTTGTGAGCAGCAATCCTCTATCAAGGAAATCATGATAGGAAACACCAGCCCGGGAATATCGTATCAATTGGGACATATATACTCCGTATGCAGGCGCTGCTGGAATGTTGCTACATAGAAATGGAAAGTTCACAATTGGGAAGCTGAAATCATCTCTTTTGTCGTAAAGTTTTGTTTTCAACCGACCCTCATTGTCAATTTCTAGATGTAAGTCAAGATATGAGGCAGACTAAACTGTATCTGTAGTATCCTTTATCTCTAGTTCGATGGGATAGATTCGTTCAACGTAGTCACCAAATTTTGTATTATTTAGTGAGAGAACATCATCTATATAGCGGAACGTAGAGTTAAAGGATATTGCTAACTTCTTATCTTTCTTCCTAAGAAGTTCCTGTATGAAGTCAGCCTCGTAATAATAAAGAAACAAGTTGGCAAGAACAGGGGCACAATTGGTTCCCAATTGTCACCGCAGGCAAAAAGCAGGCACTACGGAAACGGTCGATAGTCCGTACCTATGAATGACCTTTTTCGGCTTCAAAGCCTCATGAAAGATCCGCCAGATAGGATGGCATACAGGAGACTATCAATTAAGATCATCTCTCAAAAAAATTTTCTTCATATCGAATATTGCAGGGATGAAATAAAATATAAAGTGTGTTGATTTTTTTTTTTTTGATTAAAAACAACAGTTTACTCTGTATCCCAGAACCTTTTTTTTTACTATCAAAAACAGAATATACAAAATTTATTCCATAAGTGGAATAATTCAATCAAATGCCATGACTCAACAGAGCCATCATCGTGTTTTATGCTGCCAAAGGGTCAAACAGTTGTATCAATTTTGTGGTTAAAATAGAATTGTAAAAGAAGGAAATGCAAGGGTATTCGCAGTTAGTTTTGTGTGTAATTCTAACTAAAGAATGATTATATTTACGTACTTAATTGAATGTTTGGATATCATTTTTGACATTATGTCTAAGGTAGCAATACACTGTTAGGAGTGTAGTTTCGTATTTTGGCCCCGGTGGATTTTTCAAATATGAAAGATATTATGCAATAAAATTCATTTTTAGACAGCTGATGACTAATTTACCCTTCAAAGTTGGTTTATAGGAACATTAAGATTATTTTTTACATGATTTATGGGCTATTTTTTGTTTGACTGTCCGTTTTTTCATAGCCAGGTCCAGAAATTTTTGTAATGTTTTTTTCCCACACGAACTTTTTGACACAATTTTACAAAAAGAAATGAGACGAAAGACATATGATTTTTAACAGTTTCAGAAAAGCTATCACTCCAAGGGATTGAAATTCTACTTTTTACCCAATTTTGGGGAAATATGTGACTTCTTTACCCCCTTTTTTTGCAATATTTTATAGCAAATACATGCAGGTTGTTGCCATGAATACATCAAAAAGAAATTATCTTTTACCATTTCAACTACTAGATATCAACTCTATGGAGGATACTGATTACATACATATGCACATATATGCACATATATGACACAAACAGTAAGCTTAATTTGTAAGAAAGCAAGGAAAAGAGGATGGTAAAATTTATGAGGGTAAATTTTTTATTTTTTTCCTAACTGTATATTGCTACCTAAAGATATACTAATAAAAGTATATTGTATGGTGATATGAATGTGACAATACTTAATACAAGCTAGCCCATAATCAGCATAAGTTACTAAAGGAATTCGTACAGCTAACAGGGTTGAGTTATAATACTCGTAATCTCTTATAAAGGCAGTAATGGTAAATAAACCAGCTAAAAGAACCCACCTGGAAAACAGCACCTAAGATAAGGTTAAAAGGTTGATATTAGATAAATGTTATTTATTTGAGCTAGATAACAAGTCTAGGATGTACTAGTAAACAAAGTGACATTCATTGAGATTCGCCAACGCATGCATTTGGGAAATGTCTGTACCAAGTCAAGAGTATGATAGTTGTTTTCCATTCTTTGATGTGTTTGAGCTTTTGATTTTGACATTTGATAAGGATTGACCGTTTTGAATTTTCCGTTGAAATATGCTATTCATCTTATATTTTTTGTAAAAAAATGGGGGCGTTTGAATGAACAGAAGTGATTTTTTTTAAAGTTACAAATACAAATACAAATATTTCATTGGCACAAACACAATTACAGTAATTGAAATTGACCCATATTTTAGTAATTTATCACAATGAATAAAGCATAATGAAATAATATGTTATAATTAGGAAGATAATAAGAACAATATTGCGAAAAAGAAATAACAAAAGAAAATTTGAAACGTTGCATGCTTCAATCTGAAAGACGAAACATTATATATGTAGAGTAATCGATATAGTACGCATGAAATGATTAAAAAAAAAACATATGATATAATTTTCTTTTGCTAACTGGATATTCCACGAAAAAAAAATATATTTACCTGTTTTGCAGAAATACTTAAACACTGGCGTTGTTTTATTGCAATAAAGGAGTGGCTTACTATTGTTTGAGAAAATCATAAACATGTATAAATAAAGATGGCATGTTTTTGTGTGTCATATTAGTAACTAAGGACCTGGAATTTCATGAGCAACATAACTGGAGCTGTCTAACTATAGTTCACTCAACCAAGGATTGGTTAGTTTGTTAGGAGGTTTGCTGCGAACATTATAATTACACTCACGCTTGTAAAGAATGACAAGGTTTAGACTTTTTGTATATATTTGATAGGAAATTAATGAAATAATCATGTGTCAGTTTTACCTTCAGGATGACAAGGCATAAGTCAATTTCCTTGCAAGCAAACTCACCTAACGTTTGGTGAAGATACTTTTGAGAATGATCTCTAAAATATTTCAATAAATTAGGACATTTTCCGTGACGATCTTATTTTGATTTGGTTTCAAAAAGATTGGGTGTTACTTGAAAGCGTCCGGAAGATAACAATACGGTAAGTGTCTGAAGTAATCCTAAGATTAATTGACGATACCCTTACATGATTGGAGTTGGATTCATTTAGAAAAAAATAGATTCTAGTATTTACAAATTAAGATGGATTTTTTTCTTATTTAAAAATTATAAAATCGACAAAAGACTAGTTTAATTATATCTTAAGACTATTTGTACTTAAAACAATCCTATTATTCATAAATTAATTTCAGAAAAAACGTGGAACGATTTCCACTGAGACACAAACTATCCATCAAAGACAAAGAACAAGGATACAAAAACTGCAGATTACCGTATAGTTAGACAACTTAAATAGTTCCACTATATCGTTTCAATAGCTTTTCCTGGAAATGAATTTTTTTAAATGATTTATATCTTCCTCATAATAGGTAGCATTATGTACAAATTAATTTCTAACTATGGCATTACCAGTGGAATTGTGCATATCAGCTGAAAACAAGGTCTTAGTGCGAAAAAAGTTTTGAAAGGGGTCGAAAATATTGAGAATGCAAAAATGTGATTGAATCAGGTTAATGAGTTAAAATCCAAACATATGTTATCTAACTTTGCCATTGACCAACTTTCCTGTTTTAGATATAAACACAAAAGATACGTTCATAGATTTACAGATACCACAGTCTATTGAATACTTAGAAAAAAATTACCGACGTTTATTCTGTAAGTATTATGTTTTCTTGAGCAGCAGTATTCAACTAACAGCTGTGGATACCTTAGCTAGCTTCCTGTAGTATCTGGAAACTCGTTTACCGTGCTTTTCACATTATGCGCCGTCTTTATTTCCTTATTCTTGTCAGAAGTCATTCTCTTTGTTTCTGGAATGGGTTAGTTGTTTTATTGTGACACAGAGGGAGGTTTGTTCTCACGCTCACGCAAAACTAGTTTAAACCTGTCTCATTTTGTGCCTGTACCAAGCTGGGCTTTTTAATGACCGTGGTTTTTTGTTGTTGTTGTTTGTCTTTGTCTTAAAGTTTATGTTTTAATCGGAGGAGTCAAGTGTTGGTGATTGGTTTTATTCTGTTGTACTATCCAATATATTTTTGTTATTCCTATTATCCATTTTATATATAATTTAATCGCTATATTCAAGAATTTTTGTATATCTTAGGGGAATAATGATGAGCAATCTAACTTTGTCATGGAACTTGCAATCATTTACAATAAATACAGATGCAGTCTATTCATGATTCAATATCAGTTTATATACAGTGAACATATTATGAAACACTATTATTGTAGAAATTTATGTATTCAAAATGTCAAACGCACTATTTCTCACAAGATTGATCAAATGATAAGATTGTCATTATTAGACGTCTTCACAATAAGCGGAAACCGAAGTCGAAACCGAAACCGATAAGAAAACTGAAATCTATCAGAAAACCGAAACCTCAGATAGTACATGACATATGTTAAATGCTCACATCTGAATGTACTAAAACAATACAAATTTCAACCTACTTTTTTATTTCAGTGACTCTAACGAGGAGTATTTGTTTCTACGGGTTTTTAATTTTTTTTTCGTCTCCTTTTGTTTACTTTTCATTGTTCTCTATTGTCCATATTTTGCGTTGAAATATTTCTTCTCTCTGAACGTGGTAGGCTTGGGCTCTAATGGGATTTCTGGTTCGTGCATGGCAAACGTAAATCAAATTATATCATAATTATTTTATATGCATAAACAGACATTAACGTGAAATAGAAACTCAATAAGATACAGTTAAAATATCCTGCTAAGTCACATCGATGTTATAAATAATATAAATTGTAGGAAATATGAAACATTTTATTATTTATAAGCTTTTCACTAACCCTGCGTTGTAGGAATCGATGTGCAAAATCCAGGAAGTTGAAAGCAACAGTAACATTAACTCATACATCGTTGACAAACTTACTTGATCGATCTTTGTATTCCATAATGTATCGGACCCTTGTGTTTAATTCATATACCAGTGAAATCAATGATACTGTAAGGATTGTTCAACTTCTTTAAAAAAAAACATTTCGATATTCAATCTTAAATCAGTTATATTTCTAAAACGGCGTTTCTACCTTTTTTGTTTTCAAAATCTAAAATTAATGTAGCCATCAATTTCTATCAAAAGCATAATGAAGAATAAAATTATGTAGAGTGGTGTCTGTCTTAAATTAAGGCTAGATAGTTTTCGCGCAAGACATACTTTGACATTATCAATTCAGAGTTAATTGGTGAGTTGTTAATTAAAGCAAGGCCTGTTTTTCTTTTTTAGATTTTATAATGATACAACCATGAAGCTGAAATCAAATGACTTTTCATATATATACCAATGGTAACTGAGCGGGAAATGATGAGGTCTACGCAATTTTATGTTAAACATCTATTTAATTTTAACTTATCTTTTAAAGCTATAACTTTTTATGTGACTGTTTATTAAACCTCCTAGTGGCAGAACCAAAGTTGGCAAAGGAGCACCTGTTTTAAAAATATTTATATATAGGAAATTGACAAAAATGTAATATACTTAAGAAATAGCACTGGTAACATTCCCACTGTTGCATATGCGGATTCACTCCTGCTTGTGATAAAAATTAAGGAAAATTTGTACGCTGTAAACCTATTTTTTCCCCAATCCATTGATGGATGATTGTCTTTTTGCATATGCGTAGTTTAATGAATAAATGGCAACACGTGTATTCCATATTGTGCTGCTTAAAAATAAATAAATTATGTTCGGTAGTCCTTTATTTCCGTTGCAAAATATTTGAAAATCACGTTGCTAGGCCCTTAGATTACCCATCAGTCATCAAAATGGCTGGAGATATATTTGTTATAGGAAATACTAAAATACTAGATGTAAAATGGAAGCACAATTCAAAGGCATACTCAATTATATTTTTTTTGATATCTTTTTTGATTAAAAAAAAAGATACCAGGCTTGTAATTTTGTACGCCAGACGTGCTTTTCATCTACAAAAGACTCATTAATGACGTTCGAATCATAAAAGTTATAAATCCAAATAAAGTACAAAGTTGCAGAGCATTGAGGACCCAAAATGCCGAATGGTTTTGCCAAATACAGCTAAGATAGTCTATTCCTGGGGTAGAAAATCCTTAGTAGAACTTGTCGTCCTTTTCATTTGCAAATCGCACTATAATCATGAAATTAATACACATTTTGTAAGTTTTAAGCGATATGAATTCAAGGGACTATAGTCTATATGCAGAATCGGGTTTTCACTTAATATGTGCAACTCTTGCTTTCATATAACTTAAAACTCAATCTTTTTATAATACAGATTCCGCCTTGTAAGCTTTAAAAAAAACTTACAAAATATGCATTCAAACCTTATATTTACAATAAAAAAATATTTATAATGCATTTAATAATTATGGTTATTATAAAATAGAGGGAAAACATAATCAACAGTATGAATATTTAAAACCGACATATTCACCCGTTGTATACGACAGTGTATCGATAGTTGCATGTGCTTCAAAATGTTTACTGATTTTCATACGATATGATATACAACAATATCTGTCAAATGATTTATCGCGGATCGTAAACTTCAAATCGTACGTACTAGATAACACCTGGAAATTCTAAAAATTCAAGTTATTCTAGACTTAAAAAAATCGCCGACGAAAGATTTTAGTAGATTTAGTATATAATGTCATAATTATTCTATTAAATATCATAGCAAAACATGGTCTTTTCTTATATAGGCTATCTATTATACAGTATATATGGAGATAGATTTTTTGGATTGTACATTAACTTTTAGCTTTGTTGATGATATTCTAATGCTCAATAAAAAAAGCAATTTGTGGAATTCATAATATCAAATGGTTTATTTTCACCAGAAAACAGTATATGTTGTAATTAAAAGAATTGATTTTGACAACACCAAAATGATTTTGGCAGCTGTTTGGAAACATTTCTGCAGTCACAAGTAGAGATACTGTTTTACACCGCTTTTTAAATGTGATACTTCTCATTACACGTAAAAGCAAATTTTGCTCTAAAACTAATTATTAGTGTTATGTTTTAATCTTTGATTATGTAAAGGAATATATATTTTACCTTAATTTAATTTCGTTTTCAGCCACAGAATCCAAAAATATGGAAAACGTTTCCTTGCGATTATATAATTTTCTAAGCAACAAACTTGGAACCGAAGATACGGTGAGAGCACGGCGGACTAATTATATAACACACAATTATTTGAGTAAAACAGAAACGCACAGACAGGTCACTTGTGGAAGTAAAGGAGAAGGTCTTGACATGAAGGGCAGTGACACGGACATAGTTACCTTATTTAATCATATACACATTGTTGAACACCACAATAATAATAATATCGGTTCTAATACATTTGTCATGAGGACTTGTGATACCAGACCCGGCTTTGCACAGTTAGGGTTGTGCAGTAGTTATGAATATACAGATGTTTGGTGCAAAAAAATAGGAATAAATTTTGTTCTTTCTAGTAGAAAACTAATGCAGAAGTTACTTAATCTTAACAGAGATAGTGCTGTATGCACCATTGACCGTCTACATGGGCCATGCATGTCTACAAATAATAAAACACATGACTTTACTGTGGGTATAAAGTGCAAATCCTTCATTCAACAAGCGCAGGAATGGGTAAGAAGAAAACGATGTTGCCAACGGAAGCACTAAAAAACAAAATTGTTAATAGTGGAGTATGGTTTGTCCCGATAGGCTACAAGCTATCGCAAAATGAAGATATAGAATGGCGAGCCGCGTTCACGGTAGCTGAAATACTTCTTGTGTTTTCTTTTACTCATACTCAGCTTCTGGTTTATGCACTTTTAAAAATAATATTAAAAGACGTAATCGAAAAAAATCTGAAACTTAAAAAGCTTTTATGTTCGTATTTTTTAAAGACCGTTGTTTTCTGGATATCAGAAGAAATTGATGTTACAGAATGGACACCGCATAATTTTATGAATTGCTTTCTAGAATGCTTAAAACGACTTGAATACTATGTAAAACACGATATCTTGCCGCATTATTTTATAACTGAAAGGAATGTGCTTGAACATAGAATCACTTTACCAGAATGGAGGAATTTGAAAATATCAATAATTCAGTTGTATAAAAATTGCCCTGCATGTCTTGCTTCGTCACGTTTTATGTCTGTTTTTTTCCTTGCGCCTCTATATGTAAATATATCACAAAACATTTTGCCTGCATTTAGTGAAACGGACATGGTAGACTGTTCTAAATGTTTTGCCAATCTTACCAAGCTTAATGAACTGAGATTTATGCTTATGTGAGGTCAGCCCACCCTTACAAACATACTTACACCTAGACAGGTGTTGGTTAATAGTTTAGATCTGCTCAAACGAAAACACGATCGGTTTATATTCAGTTGTGTATTCAGTACGTTGTGTCGTAATATCAGTACAGGGATTACCTGTCAGTATGTCACTCAGGGTGGTAATAAACTACATTACCAACATTTAAAAGAGATGTTACCCTTTGTTATAATGGGAGTACGTAGTGATGGCGTATCAGGATGGAATGTTTTAGCTACATACTATTATTGTGTTAGTGAATATTCAGGTTCACTAAAAATCACTGACTACGTGTTATCAAAATTTAAGGATGATAAACAAGAGAAACTTTATTACACTGAGGATAAGTTTACTGTCGACTATTTACCACGTCTATGTCATGATGTTGATTTAAGCACAATTTACATATCTAATACAATGGAGACGAACGATTTTAAACGTAACTCGTTTTTAATTCCCGATGAAATGAAACATGAAGTAGCATACAAAGGATATATCCAGAAACCTCCGATTGTGTATGCTTTATTTTTACGTTTCATGTGTTTACTAAAGTTAAAGCACACTCAAAAATGTTCAGAGTCTTTAAATGATATAAAAGTATTCATTAAAACCGATAAATATATTGGTAATCACATCTTGAAAGCAGAATGTTACACCCTTCTTGGTATTGCGTGTTATCTGAAAGGTGATTTGACAGAAGCAGGAAATTGTCACAAAAAAGCTTTGGCATTGAACGGTTCTAAGCAGTTTAAATATCTAAAAATGATAGACAATATACGAAAAGAATATGAAATGAAAACAAAATATTGAACTATACATGATCGCATCTTCGCTAGGCAAGGGTTACGATCCATTCAACACATCTCCACCCTTAGCGGATTGAGATAGAATTTCGGATCAACGAGTAAATTTGTCGCACTTGTAACTGGCTGTATCCAATCAAACCCTTAGGAATATATGGGCATGTACACTTATGGTATTTCTACTCTTGCTAGCAATGTTTTTGTTTATAGTTTTGTGTTTTCAACAGTTGAGCTATTAAAAAAATGCAGAGAAGAGGACATCAAACCGAAAAGGTGTAATAAAAGCCATTATTTGATCCTGATATTGCAGAAATAATAAAATTAATAAACTTATTAACATGCCAAAAACTGTTGGAAAACTTTCCCATGTCAGAACTTTCTCCATATATAGAATAGCATCCTTTATATACTGCTGATGGTCTTTCCCTAGTGATGGCTAGAGATCTTGGAAATAAAATATCTATGTCGGCGGTAAAAAGTAGATGGTCAGTAGATGACCTGTGTTGTCTAGTATGTGAAGGATATGATTGCTAACATAAGCACCTTAAAATTGTCAAATGGCGCGGTAATTACTGACACTGGGTTGAAAGGTCTTCGATGATCGTTTATAGAAGCACATCCTTCGTAAATATTGATCCTAACATCACCACTCTTGGATTATAAATTTCTGTATCACTAAAATATTCCCTTTTGCATGTTTTCTTTTAAATAAAAACAACACTTTATTAATTTCATGCGTCCAAAGCGTTTTTCTGGATTTACCTTCCTTAGTAACGCTCAAAGCCGAATAATTGAAAGCCAAGGATGTATAACAACCGAGATAGTTAAAGAGCTTTATGACCAAAAAGCACCTAAAAATAATATCCAAATCTATCTAAGTTCAACTTTGCCCGACGGAGTTGAAACCTTAGTTTATTCACATTTTTTTTTAATTTATGAACAGACAATTTTAGAAAGGTTTATTATAAATTATGTCAATACCAAAGTACTGAGATGATGATACCCTCGGGGACTGATAGTCCACCAGCAGTGGTATCGATACAATGCTGTGAAAAATGAAACACCACTTTAATTATAATTTTCATGCGTCCAAATCGCTTTTCTGGTCTGACCTTCATCAGGAACGCTGAAAGCCGAATATTAGGGGGAAATCTGACATCGTTCAACATCAAGGGATTCAGACGTGATTTATTAAATTATTCAGTTAATAGTCGTTCTACCGATTATCTGACGATGTTCAATTCTAAAAGGTTTATCACAAGTACTGCCAATTTCCATTATTTATGGTGAGACCTCGTGATTTGTTGTCTTATTGTTTTGTTTTCTTAAACGGAAGATTTCATCCAACAGCTCATCACTCTAGTAGCTTCCTGTAGTATTTAAAAAATGCTTTACCCTGATTTCAAAATTTGCTTTCCTTGTTCAATTTACGCAATAGTAGTTTACTAATGTTCAAATCTGATAAATCGATGATAACGAAATAAAAATAACAAATCATAATTTGAATCGTTGCATGCTTCAATATGAAAGACGAAAAGTTACATTTGTATCGAAATCAAATAGTACACCGGATTGATTAAAAAAAAACATATGATAAAATTTCCTTGTGCAAACTGGATTTTCCAATAAAAATATTTACCTGTTTCGTAGAAGTTTATAAACTGAAATGAATATAAATAGAGGTTTTAACACTGGCGTCGTTTTATATCAGTGGAGAGTGGCTTTCTATTGCTTGCGGAAATTATAAACATGTATAATAAAGAATGATATATTTTCCTGTGTAATATTAGTAAACAAGGGCCTGGAATTTGACGAAAAACACAATAGGAGCTGTCTGACAACATTTCAGTAACTCAAAGTAAGTTAGTTTGTTAAAAGGTTAGCTGAGAACATTACTTGTAAACAATGACATAGTTTGGACTTTTTTTATAGATAAGACAAATGAAATAATCATGTGTGTCCGTTTTACAAGTATGACAATGCTTAAGTCAATTTCCTTACACATGATAACGTTACAATAAGGTAAGTGTCTGAAGTAATTATAAATAAACTGACAATAAAGTTACATGATTGGAGTTTGATTTATTCAACAAACAAACAAAATATTTTGTAATTTTAAAGTAAAGATAGATTTAATTCCTATTTCAAAATGTAAAAAACGACAAAAGACTAGTTAAATTAAATCTTAAATCTTTTGACTATTTAAAATGAAAGCAACCCTTTTATTCATACAAGCACATGTAACGATTCCAAACGAGACAACAACTATCCACCCAAAGACAGAAGAAAAAGACGGAAAAACTACATGACATAGAATAGTAAGCTAATTTGAATCATTAGACATGACAAATTCAATATCTTTCATGGAAATCAACTTTTTGAAATATGATATATCTTCCTCATAATTGCCAGCATTGTGTAAAAATTTAAATTTGCAATTAAAAGTATCAACATTGGTCTTCTAACTATGATATTACCCATGGAATAGTGCATGTTACCTTGAGGAACGGTTCTAATGTGTGAAGAAAATCTAACAAAGGTTGAAAATATCAAAAATGAGTAAAAGTATGATTGAAGGATCTAAATAGGTGTAGAGTGCTAAAATCTGTTTGATTAAAAAGATACTTAAAAAAATGTTTTTCTCATTTGCAAATCAAACTATAATTATGAAATGAATACAAATTTTGTAAGTCTTAAGCGTTACGGATTCAAGTGACTCAGTCCATTTGGAGACGCGTGTTTTCACTGAAGATGTGCTTTTCTTGCTTTCACTGATGAGTCTTTTGTAGACGAAACGCGCGTCTGGAGTACAAAATCGTAAGTCTGGCCCTCGGTCATAAAACTTTACTCAGTACTCGGAGTACAAAATTTGTGCTTGAAACACCAAATCCAGTATTTTGATTGGTTGATTTCTGAGTCTGAGTACAATAATCGTGCTCGAAAGTTTTATGACCGCAAGGCCTGGTATCTATGATGAGTAAATTTTCATTCAGCTTAAAACTCAACCTGATCAAAATACAGATCCCGCAATGTAAACGAAGCATAGAGACAGGACATGTATTCTAATCAGATTGTTAAAAAATGTCCTATCGTTTGCCTCATCTAAATGAGGATTAATCTACACCAATGAAGTGATTTTGGAAATATTTGATATTTCCTTATTCTGCAATTGCATGATTTGCTAAAATTGCTCATAGATTAAATTCGAATCTTGCGCAAAAGTTATTATATGTAAAATGTTACTGATTACCGATGGTTTTTCAAACGAGAGGGTGTTTCTCAGCTATAATCTCATCGAAGGACGATAGCCCTGAGATGAGATGTGGCCGCGAAACATCCTCGAGTTTGAAAGATCATTGATAATTTGTTTTTCGCTTTTTTGCCTATGACGTCGTTAATGTTTACATTGACAACGTCACGTGTTCCCTTAGTATCTGACGATTATTTTCTTTATTATATGACTATAAATTTTCTGTTTTCTCATAGGCCTAAACTACCCCGGCAAAAAATGTTTGGACTCGATGGTATCTAATATCCGGCGCGGTGACGGAACATCAATAGACAGAGAAAATGTAGTTTTCTGTTTATTTATTTGTTATTGTTATGATATCGAAGAATATTTATATATATATAAAACTATTTTCTATTGTGAGATGTAATATTTTCTACAACCGTTCTAGATTAACAGAGAAATAAGTAAAAATGCACGTCAAAATGACGAATTGAGTGAACCTTGTCTCGAATTTGTTTAATTTCTTCTTAAATTGTTCAGATGGTACGGAAAGAAAGGTACGGAAAGAAAGATATTGACATGGAGATTGCAAAACTAGTTACTTAATTTTGAGCACCTCAATACTTGTATTTCTGAGTATGGAACGAAAGAAATGGGTCATGTCAAAATGGAAGCACCCGGTTTTGTCAATGTGTACAACCCGGTTTTGTCCTAGATTTCACAAGGCAGAACCCGGTTTTGTCAAAGAAAAAAAAATGCATAATCGCATAACATAATTGAACTTCAGCAACTAAAAGGAGTTTGGTGGCTGGTTGGAAAACGATTTCTTACAGAGGACAACCTGTTACTTATTTGAATCTGTAAACACTTAAATTCCTACTTTATTGTCAACAAAAATAATTATAATTTTGCTTTGCATTAAAAAAAAACCAAAAACTCTAACTGCAAAATAGAATGAAATGAAGGTTTAACCGCAAATTGAGTTTTAAGCTCTCTACACGTTTTTTTTTATATGAATTATGTAAATTTTAGTGTTTAAACTTAAAATTAGAGTTTATGGTCTTAAAATTTGAAGGACGCACATTTGATATGTGATTTACTTGCACAACAGGATGGTTATCTTTATAAGTAGTCCTACCTAGGGGTGTAATATTTCCTATGATCGTTTAAAATAAATCTTCTTAAGGCTAAATGTTCATTATAAGGCATGATAATCAGACAAATGTATATATGCTTGCAGAATCGCCAAGGAAAATGAATGTTTATGGTGAGAAAAGGATTACAATAATCATGCATTAAAAATCAAATCTATCTATCCCTAATTGTAACTATAATACTAAGTATAAATTAGTATAATAGTCTCAGGCCATCGAGAAAATGCAATAATGATTAGTTTATTAATAGTTGTATAAATAAACGGTTCTGTTATCTCTCCATTGTGTTATGATTATCGTACATTGACGTTGGTCAATATATTATTGACAATATATAGGGACGTATTCAGGTTTTTTCAAAGTGGGCGTAATTCAAACAGCTTACATACCGCAGAGCGTAGCTAAGAGAACAATGTTTTGGACGAATTATGCTTAAAAAAATCGTAAAAAAAATTTAATTTTTTTGGGCCATCAAAGGTGGGGGCCTTGATTCGCCACTAATGTTATAAAACTAAATCGTATACCAACTTAAAATTTTATAAGCAAGCAGGGACACCCGCTAAATTGGATGTATGTGAGTAGGATTATCATGTTTATTCTAAAAATTCACATTGATATTTTGGAATTGTCGGAATGCGAGACCAAGGGATGTAAATTCGTGGCGGCTTGAACTATTTGTATGAAGCTTCATATGTCAGAAGTTAGAAGGCTTGACTGAAACATACCTCCACACAGATCTTTTATGTAACAATGTTTCTATCTGTCATATGTTCATTGCCCTTGACCTCATTTTCATGGATCATCGATTTCCTACACATGACTATTCAAGTGACCTTGAACTTATTTTCTTGATTAATTGGTAAATGTTCAGTTTTGTTTGTTTGGTTTTAATGATTGTGTTCATGTCCGTCTGGCAGGTTTCATCAGACCTTGAATTTTTTTATGGTTCCATGAACAATGTTAATTTTATGAGATATTTTTATTAAATTATTTATCTTACAGACCTTCAAAATAAATTCGATAACAATCATTCCAGCAGTCGCGAAATGTCAGTGCGTACAGTCACTCCTGTATAAATAATATGTAGTATTTATTTTTGTTTAAAAAAAACCGCAATTGAAGTTGTTTTGCCATGTCTGATAAGTTTATCTCGTTCGTGTAAGCCTTAATTATGAAATGTTAGACTTTTTTTTTAATTCAAGAACGGTGCAATCTTGTTTGGAATTCTTGGTTGGTTTTAGCTTACCTGACCCCATGGGAAAAGTGAGCTTTTTTCATCACTTGGCCCCCGTCGTCCGTCGTCTCCGTTAATTTTTTACATAATCTTCTCCTCTGAAAATATTGGGCTAAAATACATTTAACAAACCTTATCCACAACCTTATGTCGGTTTTAAAAAGTCCAACGAACTTATGTTTAACAGTTTTTCATCATCATTGGGGTATCTAGTTTAAAAATTTTTTGATGACCCCGCTTGTCAACAAAGATGGCCGACATGGCTTAAAATAGAACATAGGGGGATGCAAATTTTGTCTATTATTTGAAAACAGCTATAGAAAGAGAAAATTTAACAGGGGCAGATATGTTCATAATGTTGAGTTCTACATTTTGTCCATACACATCAAAACTCTCACACGAATTCTAATAGAAGTTAATGTCCTTGAATGACGAATTTCTCCTTTTTTCCATTTCTGTCTAATATCTCTATATAAAAGTTATATAGCAAAAATGATCAGCAAGACAATATATACGAATAAGTCGACTTGGTCGATATCCTTGTAAGAATTATTGACCTTTAATTACGATTTTTACCATTTCTTTGCGTTTTTGCCAATTATCTTACAAAAATCTTCTCCTCTTTAATGATTTAATTAAACTTGACCACGCGCTTTATTGAGGTATCTGGTTTGAAAACCCACATGATCAGCCATTTGTAAATTTATTTTTTGTTTCAGTGAACCAGTGTTAACGTTGTTTTTCATAAAATAAACAAAACCGGGTTCTATACATAGACAAAACCGGGTCGTTGTCTAGTAAACAACATTGACAAAACCGGGTGCTTCCATTTTGACATGCCCTATTTCTTTCGTTCCATACGCAGAAATACAAGGATTGAGGTGCTCAAAGTGACTAGTTTTGCAATCTCCATGTCAATATCTTTCTTTCCGTACCTTTCTTTCCGTACCATCTGAACAATTTGAGGAGAAATTAAACAAATTCGAGACAAGGTTCACTCAATTCGTCATTTTGACGTGCATTTTTACTTATTTCTCTGTTAATCTAGAACGGTTGTAGAAAATATTACGTCTCACAATAGAAAATAGTTATATATATATATATATATATATATATTCTTCGATATCATAAGAATAACAAATAAATAAACAGAAAACTACCTTTTCTCTGTCTATTGTTATTCCGTCACCGTGCCGGATATTAGATACCATCGAGTCCAAACATTTTTTGCCGGGGTA